AATAATTAAAAAAAATATTAGTCTCTTAAATCATGTATAAAAAAAGTGGAGTTAAAAACCATTGTTTACAATAACACTAGTTTTATGATTGCCCATGCGTTTACCTTTTGAGATTTTTATGCCTTCAGATGGCTTCAAGTTACCATCTAGTGTCCTTTTATCTCACTCAGAGGGACTCCCTCCAGCATTTCTCTCAGGGCAGATCTAGTCATAATAGCCTCTCTTAGCTTTTGTTTGTCTGGGAATCTCTTAATCTCTCCCTCACTCTTGAAGGACATTTTTGGTGAATATCGGATTCTTGGTTGACAATTATTTTCTATAAGCATCTTGAATATATCAGCCCACTGCCTTCTGGCCTCCAAAGCTTTCTGGTGAGCAATCTGCTGACATTAAGGATCTGTTGTAGGTGACAAGTTGCTTCTCTCTTGCTGCTTTCAAGATTCTCTGTTTAGTTCTGGCTTCTGAAAGTGTGATTATAATGTTTCCCGGTGTGGGTCTCTTTGAGTTCATTTTACCTGCAGTTTGTTGAGCTTCTTGGATGTTTATATTCATGTCTGTCATCAAATTTGGGAAGTTTTCAGCCATTATTTCTTCAAATATTCTCTCTGCCCCTTTCTCTCTTTCTTCTTATGGGACTCCCACAAATGCACATGGTGATCACTTGATGGTGTCCCACAGGTCCATTAGGCTCTGTTCACTTTTATTTAGTCTTTTTACTTTCTGTTCCTCAGTTTCCATAATTTCCATTGTCTTATCTTCAAGCTTGCTGATTCCTCCTTCTGTGTGCTCAAATTTGTCTGCCTTTGAATCCTTCTAGGCAGTTATTGTACTTTCCGGCTGTGGAATTTCGTTTTGGTTTCCTATCTCTTTATAGGTATTTCCACTTTGTTTGTACATTGCTTTCTTGACTTTTTCCACAATTTCCTTTAGTTCTTTGAGCATGTTTCTTTAGGACAGTTATCTTAAAGTGCTTGTCTAGTATATCTGTCTTTTTCAAGGACAGTTTCTGTTGATTAATTTTTCCTTTGAATGGGCTGTACTTCCCTGTTTCTTTGTTATGCCTTGTGATATTTGGTTGAAAACTAGACATTTGAATCAAATAATGTGGTAACTGTGGAAATCAGATTCTCCTCCTTCCCAGGATTTTCTCTTTTTTGGTTATTGTTCTAATTGTTGTAGGCTGTCTCTGTACCAAGAATCAGCCTGAGGTATAAACTTAGTATCTTCTCAGGTCTTTTCAGAGCCCACACCTTTCCCTGGACATGTACAGTCACTTTCTAATTTTCCCCATATATGCAGTTGCTTTTGAACATCCTTGTCTTTAGTATCTGGCTCCCAAAAGAGGAAAAAGAGAAAAAGATAGAAAGTGGGCTGGGGGAGGGGGAAGGGTACTGGCCTTTTAAATGCTCTGGAAGTCACTTTAGTTGGAGGTGGAGGAGCTTACAGTAACGGGGGAAGTGCAACAATGGTGGCTGCCCACCTCTGTCTACATCTCTGTGATCAGAAGCAGCAATCAGTGATCTCTGATATTTGGAGGACAGGGTTCATTTTGCCCACCCCAGTCCCTATAAGCTATGTGCAAGCTGTTCCAGGAACCACTGCACAGCTGCCTACCCAGGAGCTGGGTAGCTGCTACTGCGCTACCCATTGAAAATGACTGAAACTGACCTCAATTTCACATACAAGCTTTCTCGCAGAAGTTGCAAGCCTTCAATAGATTCTAGAGTTCCAAAACAGTTACATCAGATTCTGCCAGTGCAATTGTTGTCTAAGTGGGGAGACAGACTCCTGGGGATTCCTCATCCACAATCTTCCCCTGCATCCTCTGCCTCAGTCTTCTTAACTACTTTTTCCAAATACTAAGCTCATAGTTAGAAAGGTTTGGTACTTAGAAAGTGTTGGTAAATGAAGAAATAAGTAAATTTACTTGCTGATCTGAATCCATTTTCTTTTTGTGTTCTGGATAGCAAGGAATACCTATTACTGGTCATTAGGGTTTCCTCTTCCATCTATACATATTCTTTGCCCATTTTTCTACTGGACTGTTATTTTCACACCAACATATAAAAGTCCCTTCTGTATTCTGGATACAAACCCAGTTATGTGTGTTAAAAATATCTCTCCAAGTCTGCATCTTGTCTTTTACAAAACTTCATTTATGACACATTTTGATGTATACAAGTTTTTATTTTAAAGTAGTCAAATAAATTTGCTTTTTATGTCTTTAAGAAATCCTTCTCTACCCCACTGCATAAAGAAAATTCTATAAAGAGAATCTAAAAGTTTCCAAGTATGGTTTTTTACATTTAGATCTTTAATCTATCTAGCAAGTATTTTTGTATATAGTAAAAAGGTAGAGATCAATTTTCTTTATCATTCTTAAACCATTTCTTCACTGATATTTTATATTATATTTGTTATAGATCAACTTCCAATACTCTTGTATTTATGCCTGCACTCTCTAATCCAGTTCCACTATCTATATTAAACCAAGGATCTTAACCTAAAATTGTATGCAAGATTTTGCACATATCTGGACATCTGCACCTTTTCTAAGAAGAGGGCATAGGTTTCACTGGAATTCTAAAACAGGGAATGCAACTCAAAAAAGGTGAACAAGTACTGTTCTAAATGAAATAGTTATTCAAAAAACACTAATGAGAAGCCAACTCTTACAAAAAGGGGTTGAAATTTCAGCATGCTAAGGGAGGCTATGGAATCTTACCTAGAGGCTTTGTTATGTATGTTGACAAAAAATAGTTTTACCAGGATGGTTTGATTAGTTACAGTGCTACTTGGAAAGGAGGGAATAAAATAACCGTTTCAAACTCTCTTAAAGCCAAACAAAGAAACCTCCATAAAATCACAGAATTTAGAGCTGGAACAAACCCTATAAATCACCTGATATAAACTGGGTTTGTGGATGAGAAAACTACCAATTAAACGACTTAGCCAAGATCAGAAAGCTTGTTTAATGGCAAACCAGGGAATGAAAGTCACGTCACCACAGTCACAGCACACTGTTCCTAGCACTATAGCCCACTGAGAGTGGAGAGGAAGGCGTGGCAAGGGGGGCTGGAGAGGAGGCAATGAGAGGATGGGCAGAAATGGAATAGCAGTGTGGAAGTGAAGAGAGCACACACTGAAAATGTATTTAAAGCCTCATACATTTATGCATGGAGAACTGTGGAAACTATTTTTAATCCTAACTACAACTCCATCTTGGCAAAAATATGCCAAGAGCCTTAAAAATGCTCTTACCTTTTGCTCAAGCAATCACTCTAGTCCAAAGAAATTACCCTAAGAATTAACTCAACTGAAAAATAAAGCTACCACACTCAAATACATTAAGTAATCTTACCTATAAAAGCAAAAAAACAAAACAAAACCAACACAACCCTAAATACACTTTGTAAAGTGTAAATTCTGATTCATCAAATTGATGATTATGTAGGAATTAAAAATAATAAAATCATGTGGAAATAAGTTAAATTTTAAAAAAAGAAAAGCAAAAAGAAAGTACATGCACGGCACAATTGTGCTCAAAAAGTACTCATAAAAATCACAAGGGAATAAGCAAGAATTAAAAATTTGATTTATCAAACAGTATGATATGGCTGATTTATTTCAACTGATATTAAATTCTTCCTGAAAAACTAAGACATTCATGTGATCATTCTAACTCTTAAAACAAAATATACATACATAGTAAAAAGTTAATAGTTCTTTCTCATCCCGATTTCCATGCTCATAAACATATACCCATGGGGGTTTGGCTATTAATTATGAAGAGGGAATCACACTTTACATATTTTTCTGCAATTTATTTTTCACCATTAACCGCCCCCATGGTTACTGTTCACCCTTTCCATCAATGACATAATACTCCATACATGAATATAGTATGACTTATTCAACCATTTCCTTATTCTTTTCTTATTAATAGACATTCAGGTTACAAAATATTTTTTTGTTAGTACAGTCCTGCAATAAATGTCTCTGTACATTTCTCCCTATGTATTGATGCTTTTCTTCCTATAGGAGAGAGTCTCAGAAATGAGCCAGGTAGATTGAAGGTTTATGTACTCAATAGTGAGATGGCTTTCCAAAATGACTTCAGAATCTGCAATTACCGAAATTAATGAGTGTTTCCTTTTCTCCAGACCCATTCTAGCACTGGATATAATCACTCAATTAAGTTTTTGCCAATTTATCCCTCTAATCCTAAAATTTGATGCCAAAGAGTTGTACATACTTTTAATCTCTTCTACATCTTTGTCTTGTTTACCTTTGTTTTATGTTTCTGAATCAGTCTTTCTAGTAGATTTATCTACCTACTTTACTGGTCTGTTTCAAGAATCAGCTTTTATTTACCCTATCTACATTTTTATTAGTTTTCTACTTCATTAATTTTAACATACTTTTTGTTCATTTTGTTCTTGTCCTAACTTCCTCAGGGAAATATCATTTATTTATTTTCAGTTCTTTTAAAATAAAGTATTTCAGGTTACAAATTTTACTCTAAAGTATAGCTTTTAGGTGTGTGCGATGGGTTTGGACTCAAATATTTTCTTTTTCATCACTTGCTAGATAATTCAAATTATAAATGACACAGAAAGAAATGAAAAGGATGACATTTCTGACCAAAAACAACAATCTCCAAAGCAGATTGTAAATTCCCTTCCCCTGTGCCTAAAAGTGCCACCCAAGGTCACACTAATGAAATACTTCTATGAAACAGATTTTCATCTCTATATATAATCTTTACATTGTTTCAAGATCTTGCCTAGTATCTCAGTCCTTACCAGAGATGTCCAATTTCTGTACAGTTCTGCTTTATATCACTGGTACTACAAAGGTGGAATATCAACTAAATGCAAATAGAGGGCAGGAAGCAATTAAATGCAATATCAATTGTCAAACAGTTTGTGACAAACTATTCTTTAAAATCTCTGTTCTGATATTCTGTCTAAACATTTTTTTTTTTTAATACTACTCACCTGCTGCAAACCCTGTGTCCCAGATACAGGTACTTGCATGATGGTTTGACCTTGTCCACCAGGGACAGCCTGGACCATGATGGGTTGGCCAGTTGATGTGATTAACTGGCCTCCACTGACCTGTACCATTAATGGCTGCCCCTGGACCTAGAATGAAATAAAATAAGAACAATGAAATAACATAATACATAACGTGTTTTTACCAAAAGACAATCACTGGAAGTATTATGCTGCCTCGCTAGAAGGGGAAAAGGTAGGAGAGACCCTAAGAAAATAAGTCTAGAGTCCTTGTCCTCAAGTTATCTTCTTCGAATATCTCTGATATCTTTAACTAAATGCCTGTTGAATACTTTAAGGTCAGATACAATGGCGTATACCCAGAGTCTTTGGGAAGTCTCAATATATATAAGGCATTTATCACCAAATACAGGCGATATCCATGAGAAGCATTTAATCAAAACATCAAGGCTATTTGCCTTTTTAGATCAATATCCAGGAATGAGCTCTAGTGAGGGCTGGAGAAGAGGCATGAGAGGGATAGGTGACGGTGGTTGAGCGCAAATTCTAAATAACCTGGAAGGAGTAAATCAAACTGTACTCAGCAAGGACTCCAGGAGGCTGGGCAGCAAATAGCTCTGGAAGCTTATGTAGAAGACCCTTTCACTCCAGTCTCTCAAGCATAAATGAAATGTACATCTTTTAGCCTCTTCACCTTACACTGGGAATTCTAGTCTCATGGTTGTTTAAAGAGCCCACTAGTAAAAACACCTAGAAATATTTTCTGGTCAGTTTGCAATCTCCATAGAGTAATTCCTCATACTGGACCCTGCAATATCTGTACAATTATTTTAAATTTAACAGAAGCAATGACAAATATGGAAATTACACAGAGCACTCAACTGTACCAAAAAACTCCCAACTTTCAAGCTACTATGAGTAAACAGAATACTCTAAAAGCCAGGACATTGTAAGTACTCTGTAACACCTTGAGTCGCAATACAAAAATATTTAGCTAACAGAATGCTTTCTGGAAGCAAAAACCCAAGCCACTTTAGAAGCGAAATGGAATGTTCAACAGAACAGCTACAAATCTGAAACTTTCACTTTCAGATTCTATCTTTGTTTTGGGGAATTATTTGTAACAGAACAAAAGAATATTTTTATGACTAAAATATTCATTTTTAATGACAGAGAAAATATCTTCAAATAATGGTAATTAGTTAAAATAAAAGATCAGTATGTCCTAGATGAGCATATTAGATATTAAGACTCCCTCCTTTCACCACCAACACCAATCTATCAGAATCTTCAGGAATATTCAAATCCTAGGCTTTGTTAAACTGTTCATTGAGAAATTCCACTTTACTTTTAAGGACTGTACAATCTCCCTTTCTCACGCTTTCTCCTTTCCTTACATGCCCATCCCAAATCAAATTCCGTTTGCTACACCAACGCTGGCATGTACTCTATCAGGAAAGATTTTTTAGAATCTTTATTGCATGAATAACTGAAAGAACTATTTTAAAATTCTCCAAAATAATGAGACCCCTAGAGGAAACGTTTCCATTATTTCCATAAAGTGTTTCTATTTCTTTTAAATAAAATCTCCCTAAGTGGGAAACATAAGTTTTAAGGCACAACTATTAATAATTTTCTGGCTATCCATCATCTTAACTTCTCCCCTCACTGACATGCTGTATGTGCACGTAATAAGCCATCTGAGACTCTAAGGAGCCCACTGTGTTTATAACATATGAATGATCACAAGGACACATGCATCAGACAAGAAGCCATACAGTTAAGAGCATGTTACATTCCCATTCCACAAGTGGTTAATGACAATACTGTTTTACATACCAATAAGATGAAGCAAGCATGTAAAACATGAATAACAAACTATTGAACTCTGAGATTTGAATATGGTTTGGGAGTACCTACAGGCTCAGCTTCTTTCAGCCTAATTTATCTTCAGAATTTGCTTTATAACATCATCAAACACTATGGGTGGCAGGTGTAGGGGTGGAGCTGAAAGGGTGAAGTGAAATGATTATAATAAAGGGTAGTTAACTGCAGGATGCTTAGAGCACTAGTAATAAAGTGAGATGCCAATTCTACATTCTACGTCCTACTTTGAGTCCTTTCCATTCAATGGAAGGAGAAAAAGGCACTCAAATCTTGCCAAGTTCTCAAAAATATGGTCATTTGAGTCAAAGTAACGTATAGACAGAGAAAAGACTAATGTTCCTACTCCTATTTTTATATAGGAACTGGCCAAAACACAACCCTAATTTAGGCTGTTTAAGCTCACGATACATAATGTTAGGGAACTGCATTAGTTAACTAAGAATTCCTATGGTTACTATAACACCTAAGGCTTAGAGAAGGCATATCCCACCTCTGTCCAACCAAGAGGTATGGGGTAATCTTTGCAGATTTAGTAATAAAACAGGTCACGGATTTCCAAGGAAAAGGTAGTGAAAAGGCAGCAGTTAAGAGACTGACAGATTCAGAGATTAGATAAACTTTGCCAAGGACAATGACTATTTTGCAGCTGAGCTGCCTTTTTAATAAAAATAAAACACAATCTAGCCTAGTTAACGTGCATATATTTTATTCATTATAATACAAATTTATGAAATTTTACCATGCAATCTGATTACAGAGTTTGAGCTCTAAAAAGGTTCTAATGCCACTTGTAAGAATTTCTTCCTGTCACTCATACCATTTCTTCCCCAGGCACTCCCAAAGAAACACACGAGCCAAATGAAGCTTTCAGAAAATTGATTCTGGGGTCACTATACAACTTGTCATGAAACATTAGAAACTGGCAGCTTATAAGCCTCAAAGACAAGTTAGCAGCATCAAAGACATGCAACTGACTTTGCCATTCCTCCTTGAGATCCTACTACAAACAGCACCAGACATGAGGAGAGGAGAAGTTCATGCAGTGCTTACAGAGAATCAGAGAGGGCACCACTACCTGGAGGGTCTGGACTTGCTGGCCTGAGGCGGATGCCACCTGGGCCTCAGTCTGCAACTGGACAGCAGTGACACCACCCTGCTGCTGAGAACAGGAACAGGAAGAGCTTGAAATGTGTCAGGAAGGAAATGTATAGTTCAAGACATGAGATCACCTTACCTCTTGTGGGACAGGGAGGGAGTCTTCTTTCAACAGTCCCACCCTACACAGGACTTTCAACCTGTACCGACTCCCTATACTGAAGCTGTTTTGTTGAAGGTAGTAGGACTAAAGATATTAGCCCTTTGTCCCCAGGTGGAACTCAAAACATTTCTATGACTCAAAAAACATCAAAATAGTTGTCATCATTAACACAAAAATTTTTAACGCAGTCCAACTCTCCAGAAATAGGCATTTGATCCTTCTGCTTATACAGTTATTTTAATGTTCTTTTTGTTTCCTCAAATGAGTTCACAAGAACAAAGTTATCAGGTTTTAACAGCCTTGAAGCTACAACGAAGAATTTCTGGGACTTAATGCAATCAGCAGAAAGAAAGAACAAGCAATCACTGTGAACCAAAATCATCTTCATGAGGTCACTGCGCTTCTACCTCAAATCTAAGATTACTTCTACTCAACTAGACTACTTTAGAAGCAACGTTTTCAGAGATTCAACCTAATTTTTCTATCTTCTAATGTTAAGTTCTGACAGACAAGACCACCCAGCAGGGCACTGGTGAATGGGCCCTTGTGGAGTCCTCTCTTCTAAGGCAGCTGAAGGGAGCTGCCAGAGCCGCGGCAGCTGCGTGGAAGGAAAAGTTAGCAAAGGAATTTAAGTCATTGATCTCGTTTACTCAAGAGTAGCTCCTTCCTTTGATTATTAGCTAGGAACAACCTGGCATCCAAACTTCCTTTGCCCTCCCTACTAACTACTTTTCTACATTATGTAAATTCCGTTTTGGAAACAAAACATTCCCAACCTTGGCCTAAGGTCAGATTGATGCATAATAAATTTCTTTTCTTCTAGGGAAAAAAATAAGTGAAGTTTTACTAAAATAAAGCCAGGCAGAGAACATCAGAAAATGTAATCTGTGTATAACTCAGGAAACCAACCTATCTTAATTAAGAATAAACCAGCAGCAGGGAATTCCTTTCTAATACGCGCTTATCCATTAAGAGTGCCTGTCAACATGAATATTACCCTCAAGTTAAACCAGAGCTTTTCAGAGTAAGCACTGTGGTGGATCAAATCAGGGAACAGAGGATTTCTTGGAAGCTATCCTGGTCTGTTTATTGTGGCCAAAGCCTTACTAGATCACAAGCTAGCTTAATCAAGAAGAGAAACAACCAAATTGAATCCAGAAAAGAGAAAAACTCCAAATTTCCAGGTGAAAACAGAGTAGGTGTTTTGACTTTCAATAAGATAAGAGGGACAATTCACTATTAACCATGCTCCCATGAAGAGCAAATTCTAAGTGGTCGTGGACTAGATAGAGTTCAGAACACACAGAACATGAGAGAAACCACAACAAATCCAATCTTCAACAAGTACTTCGGCACAAGTCATCAGACCCGTTCTTTGTAAGACGTGGTGCCTCTCAAACGATTCCCCAGTAGAGTGGTGCTGTTACCACTCCGCTAACGTAATGTTTAAAGAGGCTGAAATCATACCTGCTGCTGAATCTGTCCAGCCTGTACAACAATCTGCTCTGTTGAACTATTGCTGTTCGCTGTATACTGCTCCATGGTCCCTCCAAGGTAGAATCTCGTCCACAGTGAGTTTCACTCTGGAGATCTGAGAAGATTTCGAGATGCACCCCTATTAGAAAGTCAGGGAGGAAAACTAAAGTGAGATTGTCAACAAAGGCCCTGCCAGATGATTAACCTTGATAACTGATAGCTGTACTTGATTTTCAAGAAAGCAGAGGAAGTGAATAGAAAATGTTTACATTCAGTATCATTTTGAACTAGTATTACATGGCACAATCATGACAACAATATCACAATGCTATTGCATGTTCTAAAAATATTTTTAGTCATTTCTTATCAGCAACCTTCCCTTTCAATACTATTAGAAACACACTTGCACGTTAGAAATACTCATTAAGCTACAATATCACTTTGTTACAAAGCCTAATTAATAGGATTTTCAAGTCTGCACGTGTATTTCAGAGAATAAACTGTCTCTTTAATTTATAACACACATTTACTGCTGGTCATACCAAACACGTTCTCTAGTCCACTACATACGGTAAGCAATTTAAAACTTCAAGATTTATGATTTACTAAATATATTATCTAGACCTGAAGTCAAACATTTTGCTTATCAAAATCTCCATTGGGGGGCCAGCCCCATGGCCAAGTGGTTAAGTTTGCACGCTCCACACTGGCGGCCCAGGGCTTTCTGGGTTCGGATCCTGGGCGCGGACATGGCACCACTCATCGGGCCATGTTGAGGCGGCGTCCCACATGCCACAACCAGAAGGACCTACAACTAGAATATACAACTAAGTACTGGGGGATTCGGGGAGAAAAAGCAAAAAAAAAAAAAACAAAAAAAAAACCCTCCATTAAATAGAGTTAAGAAAGCAAGCCATGGTGAGGGTTTAGGTTTACATTTTAATCCAGAGCAAGGAATAAAAAGGAATTATACTAATGGTAAAAATGATTATTTATAGACAAGCCATAAGGAAAAATTTTACATGATATATTAAGGCTATAATTTTTCTAAAAGGAACTTAAGTCTTCCCCATTCTTGAATTTGAATGCCTAATAATATCCCACCCTTTACTGTATAATTTTACCTTTTTTTTTTTTTACAATTAGCCTTGAGCTAACATCTGCTGCCAATCCTCCTCTTTTTGCTGAGGAAGACTGGCCCTAAGCTAACATCTGTGCCCATCTTCCTCTACTTTATATGTGGGATGCCTGCCACAGCATGACTTGACAAGCGGTGCATAGGTCCGTACCCAGGATCCGAACCAGTGAACCCCAGGCCACTGAAGCAGAACGTGTGAACTTAACCACTGCACCACCAGGCCAGCCCCTAATTTTAACTTTTTATTATGGCAATTTTCAAATACATACAAAAGTAGTGAGAACATTTTAATGAACCACCATAGCCATCACCCAACTTCAACAATTCTCAGTTCATGGTCGATCTTGTTTCACATATATCTCATCCACTTTCTACCTACCCCTGGATTATTTAGAAGCAAATCCAAGACCCTATTATTCCAAAAATCCATAAGTACTTGAGCTTCTATCTCTAAAGAGTAAAGACACTTTGGTCTTTATCATTTATCACAATGATACCGTGTCTCTACAATATCATTTCAAACATTAAAAAATGAGTAAGTCCTTACTGTCATCAAATATTCAGTCAATGTCTAAATTTACCCTTCTCATACGCTTTTTACAGCTGAAGATTCCTTTTTGAAATAAGGATACAATTAGATAAACTGAAGCAATGAGAACCTTAAAAGACAGACTTGATTAAAAAATGTAAAATTACATAAATTACCAAAGGTGGGGAAGGTATAGGTACATACAAACAAAATGTAAAGCAATCTCTGCCCCCAATTTTTCTCCAGGCCTTCATAAATTCTAAAATTTAAATGATAAAGTTACGTGAGCTAAAAGAGCTGCACATTACAGCAGCAAACAATGCACCACTTTCCATACATCCAACAAGGTGGATGAGATTAATCGCTTGTAAGGTGTCCCAGTATGGTGTGAAAGGGATCAAAATATATTCAAGTGCATGTCCAAGTATTTAGGAAGTGTATTGATGCCTAAAATTCACTTTGAAATGCATCAAAAAATAAGACGGATTGATGGATGAATGGCTGGAGAGATGGACAGATATCTGATAAGACAAGCATGGTGCAAAGTTAATGGTAGACTCTAGGTGATGAGTATACAAGTATTTATTGTAAAATTCTTTCAACTTTATGTTTGAAAATTCTTATACTAAAATGTTGGGGAGAAAAATAATAATAAAAATTAATCAAGCCTATTACTCATAACCAAAACATATGTAGTGTAAAAGAGCCATAAGTAAGTGACATCACAGCACAATGACCTGAGGCCATACAGTTCTTCAACTCACTACCCTCGCTGTAACGGAATGTTCACCAAGCAACCAAGCGAGTATCTAACTATAATTAGGATTTTCATATAAATTAGCCAAAGGGAGCAAATATGATCAGCAACACAAGTAAACTTGATAGTTATTTCTCATTGCATACTGACAAACTGGCTTTCTGATTTTTACACCAGTCTCTTCTCAATTGTTGGCTGAGTCGGCTCCTGAAGGATTCTGGAAACAGTATAGAAAGTGGGTTTTTCAGCCAGACAAAGTGGCTCTGTCAGAGAAGTACATGGTCTTCCCTAAACTCTATTTTGTCTCTAACTGTAGTGCATACAACACTTATGTTTTTAAAATAATCAAACTAAAGAATTAAAGATCATGATACAAGTGTATGGGATTCCATTTATGCGAAACCCTGAAAAGACAACAGTAATCTAGAGGCAGAAAGCAGATGAGCAGTTCCCTGGAACCGGAAAAGAGGGGAGAGGGGAAACTGAGAAGTTGATTGGAATAGAGCATTAAACTTTCTGGGGTGATGAAAATGTTTATTTTCATTGTGGTAGTGGTTGTGTAAGTGTATAAATATCTCAAAATCCATTAAAATGTACACTTAAAATGATTACCCTTGTATGTAAACTACATCTCAATAAAGTTGATTTAACAAATAAGGATCATGAAGGAAAGTCCTCAATATTTCAACATCTCCTCCACCCCAAAACCCCGCCTGCAGGAGATTATTTCCTTGACCACTAATTTCCAGAAATTTACATCTGGAAATGTAAATAAATGTCATTTACATGGGAATGACTAATAAATATATTGTCATGCAGATTTTCTTAACTAGTTCATCCTGGTAATACAAATGCTCCAATTTTAAAATATTCAAATCCACTATAGTTTGAAGGGTAAAAAAAGGAAGCAGCTTCAAATCTAATAGCAATTCTCACATGAACCAGGGAGTTGTTCAGCTTGGAGCACGATACAGACTGCTAATGTTGAGCGAGGTATACAATTAGCTTCGTGAATCTCTATCTTCCCACTACTGTGAGCATCAGGTAGCAGAACTGCAATACAATCCACTATTTCCTCAAGTGCTTCTCTGCCCAAGATTCTGACAAAATTAAGTTAGCCAGATTTAGTCTGCCTAGCTCTTGCTCCTAACTCTAAGTTTTGAATGTTTTTTCTCAAAGAGACAAAGTATGTGTTCTGGCTAGCATGAAAATTCCCTTCCCCTCCAACTCAAGGTGCAGAATGTGAAACGCAGCTAACCACTAGGAACCCATTCTATATGGCCCTACACACATTTTAAAGCTAAAACTTCCAGAAACTCAAGCATACACATGTGAAAACCTCCTCGAAATTACTGGATTTGACAATCACTACTCTAACTGAGCAAGTGGGGCCATCTTGTTACTCTAAATGGCCCCAGCCCCTCCTCCATGTGACTACTCGCTGCTCTGCACTACTCTAAAAAATTCACATCTTCTCCAGACTTATGGCCTCTGCTTACATATGTACTCCCCGATAGCTTGATAAATTAAAACTTTGTTCTATGAGTTTCTCTCCAGGAACAGGATGAGCACAGGTGGGAAACACACCTACAAGGCATCCGTCCCAGCTGACAGAAGAAGGGAACAATCAAAGACCCTGGAGTCCATCATGCCTGAAGGAAACCCCCTGCTTCCTGCCCATTTTCCCTATCTACCTGCCTCAAGATTCTGTAATTTTTGAAGATGGTTGTTTTTGAGACATCAGTCTGCCATATTCTCGATTATAGCAGCTAATCGAATTAAAACTTCCTTTCTTGATCCCTAACTTGTGACTGATTGGCTCAGATCGCGGTGAGCAGAGCGATCCCACTGCTCGGTAACACTACCAGGTAAAGACTAGAACAGTAGCTTTCAAACTTTATTGACCATGATTCACATTTAAGAAACACATTTCGTGTCACAAATCACTACACACATAATATAAAAGTAACTGAAACAAAAGCTTCACAAATACTTATCTTTCTGTAACATGCACTCTGATATTTTCTATTCCATTACAAAAAATTACCAGCATTGGCCCACTAAACGGATTTCACAACTCAGCAAATGGGTCCTGATCTGTGTTTGATAAAAGACTAGAGCACAGAGTATGTCCGGTTTCCCTACTGTCTGAGACGTTTCTGGATTGGAGTTCCTAACTTGCTCCCTCTCTCCACTAACGACGTGCCAGACACTTTCCTGGAGGTTTTAGAAATAAAAAAAAAGATTCTGACTTCAAAGAGTCTTTAAGTTTAGTAAAGGAGTAAAAATGTACTAGAACTCTAAGAGAGAAAGGGAATATGAGAGTTTGGAGAACAGAGATGCCTTTGTGAGGACAGAGATTTCTTCCAGCTGGGGACAGAAAAATCAAGGAAGGCTTTAGGAAAACGTGGCATGTGACCTAGTCTTAAGCATGAGAATGGTTTATACCATCTGTGCGATGAAGTGGGAGGGGGTCGAGTACTCCAAATGAAGAGAGCGCATAACAACAAGGATAGTAAAATTTCGGCATAGGAACAGCAGACTAAAAGGCCCCATGTCAAGAGAAAACCAGACGCTAGACTACTGTCTCTCAAAACTCCAGGCAAAGAAGTTCTTCTGCAGACAGATTGAGGCTCTAGGTGTTTAGCAAAAAAGTGACCAGACTCCAATAACCCTTTAGAAAGAAGTCTAGCGACAGTGTTTGGCGGTTTAAGTGACCAGACATACCCGTTTTTAAATACCAAGGTTAAAACATGCATTCCATAGACAAATCTAGGTGTTCTAAAAAATATCTAAGACATGCTGTTCTGTCTTTAATGTGGATAATGTAAGAATGAAATGAATTTTAAATCATTAAAAGCGAAAACAAAAACTGTCTCCAAAATTTTAGGAGTAGAAAGCACTGAACTAGTTTTCTGAAACCTACCAGTTGCAGGAGCTTAGTAAATGTGATTAGAAAAACGGGCACCATATACCGAAGCCAGCAACTGCACTAGGTGCTTCACTTGAGTCAAAACTTATAAAGTCCTGGGGGAAAAATCTTCCTTTCTTCCCCAAAAGAAGTCAGCCACTGTTATGGGGCAGACCCCACAAGTCAGAAACTCATTTTTCCAATCTTTGAAAGAAACTTCTAGATTTCTTCTGAATCTCCACAAAAATAAGTGGTTCTGAGAAATTCCTTATCAAGATATACAAATGCTTTTACCAACTCGGCTTTGCAGCCTAAACTCTCACCACTATGGCCCACTGCCCTATCCTATTTTCCCTCTTAAAGGCACAGCACGACTTGGTGCCTCTGCATATACGCTCTTTTCTCTGTCAGCAATGCTTTTCCATTCTGTCCTGTACAAAAATCCCATCAAGATTCAAGGCCAAACAAAAGTGTGGTGATGTTGAGCCTTCGCCGGAGGCTGTTGGTAGCGCACACATCAGTCCTTCACAGGAGTGGACTTGGCCGTTACTGCGCTAGCAGTCAGGAATTAATCAGTCGTTCGCCTGTCAATCTCCACCAGGCTGGGAAGGTTCTTACCTACCTCTACCTACTTCCTCCCCTGGACGCAGATCTGTGCCTGCTCCATACTAACCGCTGGAGACGTGGGTGTCAATGGAGATTTCCTTCCACCCTAATGAATACCCCACAACACTAAGTTCCTATAAACATCTGCCGAGAAAACGTTAACGTGGGATTAGAAAGTACATTCGAAAAAAATTAACCAAGAGATGGCTGCGGACTGAGCTAACGAGGCAAGCCTGACACGTGCAAAGAGACAGAGAGGTGAAAGAACAGTACATTCCCAAGGACGGGAAGGTTCACAAGACGAGCAGCAGATGAGACTAAGATGAAAAGCAACTTGTGCAGCCTTCGGGAAAAGGAATGCGCAGGGCTAACAGTCTTCGAGGACGAGGTTCCAGGCACCGAATGGCCGGGCCGTACAGCCCAGGCAAAAGAGGGAGAGCGCTGGGTTGGACTCCAGGACGGAGGTGTGCGGTGCTGGCCCGGGAGCGGGGCGGGGAGGAGAGGAAATGACGAGCCAAAAGGGGGTGGTAACGGCGCGGGGCCGGGGACCCGGGCCGAGAGCGCGGGAGGAGGGGCGGCGGGGCAGGGGAGTGGGCGCACGAACGGCTCCCTCCCCCGCCCGGGGGCCGGCGGAGCGCCCGGGGCCCCCCTCGCCCGCCGCACCTGGGGCCCTGCAGCCGCGGCGCGCATCCTCCCAGGCCTCCCGCCCGACCCCGGCGGGCTGCAGACGGACCCACCCGTCGCTCACGGAGGGCTGGGGGCGCGGGCCCCGCGGGGGAGACTTCCCGGCCCGAGGGCCCGAGCAGGGAAGGTGCAGGGGCGAGCCTAAGTGTGAGGCCGGAGACCGGGAGGAAACGGCTGAGGCCCCGGGCACGTGTGTTACCGGAGCGCAGGGGCGTTCCCGGCAAGCAAGCCCGCCACCCCGAGCCTGGGGCCTGAGACCCGGGGCCTAAGGGTCGGGCGGACGAGGACGCTGCCCCAACTGGCACAGGCACCCCGCAGGAGTCTGGACCCCGAGATGCCTGCCCTCGAGGGCACCATCCCCGCACGGGGCGGCCCCCTGCAGGCCTCGGCCGGGAGTGCCCCGGGCCGCTCGCAGCCTCCGGGCCGGGGCCACCGGCCGCCCCGCTCGGCGAGGCTCAGCTCGACTCCCCGGGCTCGACGGGCGCCTGGGCCTCTCCTGAGTGGTCAGCAAGACCCGCCAATCGGGGCGCTGGGGCCGGCTCTGGGCCGCTGGATATTGGCTCCTTACACTCACCGTGCCTCGCTCCCCCGGTTCGCTGCCCGCGCTGATTGGCTCCAGTACCGGACCCCGAAACCCAATCAGAGGCTCCAGCCGCCGCTGCCGCCGCCACTGCCGCTGCCTCGCAAAATGGCGAACCCGAACAAAGGGGAATCGGGCCTCCCTCCAACCGCCTCCGCGCAGGCGCCTCTGAGACCACGCCCCCTCGCCCCAACTCGGGGCTCGCCCCACACCCAGCAGGAGGAGCACTGCGCAGGCGTCCCCTGAGGCCACGCCCATTTCTCTGATTTGACACCACCTCAGGCCAAAGGAATACGCAGGCGCCTTCTAGAAGCGCCAGACCCTTCAACTCAAACACCGCCCTGAACATAGTACTACGCAGGCGCTAACTACCTCCTTTGCCAACTGCCCACCCCCTTCTATGCGGCCGCTGGAGACACACCCCTGGGGCTAACGCGCAAGCGCCGTTCTGCCCGCCTCGCGGTCAGCTATGTCGTTACGCATGTCCGGGCTGCGGCGGGAGACTCCGCGGTATTTACCGCCGGAAGTTCGGCGGCCACCACCAAAGAGTGCGGGTTCGGCTAGCTAGCTAGAGGGGCTCGTTTCCGCCCCGCTCCCGGGTGGTGGGCGGCCATCTTAGGCGCGTGCAATTAAAGGCTGTGGCGGGATTGGTTCCGTGTCTGGGCTCGTCCGCCGCTCCCCACCTACCAGGGACGGATCCGGAGCCCTTCCCCGCGGGGCGGGACTCCCAACGGCCGACTCCTTTCCAGGTGAAGGGTAACCGCGGGACGTTGGGGCTTTGGGCGAGCCTCCCGCTCCCTTCCACGGGACTCCAGGACAGGCTCCACGCCCTCGTTGACCCGCCCTGGGGTAGGAGACGGAGAATGGGAGGCTGCCTAGGCTCCCCCCACAGGAAGGAGGGGGCGAGCCCTCCCGGTCCCCTGCCTGCGGCTCGCTGGGCTGGACGGTCCCCCTGGCCCGTGCATCCCTCGTGGTGACTTAAGGGGACTGTGGCCAAGTTCTTCTTTTTTGCTTCTAGGCCAGACCCCCTGGGGAAATACTTTGGCGGGGTGCAGGGAATAGGCGATCGCCCTAAATCCGCCTGGCTCGGGCGGGAGAGACGAGGAAGGAGGCGTGTCCCTGGACCGTCCGGCCCCGCGCCGGTGCCGCGGGCCGCCCCGGAGAGCGCGAGAGCCGAGCCGGGCTTCCTCCCTCTTCCTTGCCCCGGAGAGTGTTGCCTTCCTAGAGGCCGAACGAACTCGCCTTCAGCGATGAACGTTGGGAAAATGATGAATGTGTGTGGTCAGGGCAATCTGAATAGAGTATATATAGGCTGCCTGAGCATCTTTACTTCCTTTTCCCTTCTCGTAGCTGAAGATACCCTTACGATCTGGAAATAGCGACTCCGTATCATGGCCGGCAGCCCTAATGAAGATCCTGAAGGAAGCAGAGTGCGTAACGACTGTTAACTTATTGGTGAACTGAAATTCAGAATAATTGAGGTCAAAAGCATAAACACTTTTTAATTAAACCAATAATTGAATTGCCTTTTTTCCCCCTCTCTCTAGCTGATTTACTTCGGAAAGGCTAATACAATCCTAGGCAGAGACCGTCCATCTCTTTCCTTTTACACATGCTTTAATTCGTGGTAGTTAACTCCTTAAAGTAAATTCCGAGGATTTGGCTTTAAATCTTAAGGAGGGGCAGGGGCGGGGTAGTGGTGGGGGACACAGTAAAGCAAAGTGAAAGAAACAGCTTAGTATTTTTCTGTATCTAATAAAACGTTTTGTTCCCTTTTGCACGTTTTAGATCACTTACGTGAAAGGAGACCTTTTTGCATGCCCCAAAACAGACTCTTTAGCCCACTGTATCAGTGAGGATTGTCGAATGGGCGCTGGGATCGCTGTCCTCTTCAAGAAGAAATTTGGAGGAGTGCAGGAGCTCATAAGTCAACGTGAGTTGTGGAAACAGCTTAACTCCTGCGCCCTGGCTAGAGCATCTCTTGGTCTCCTGTTGTACTTTAATTATTAAATAAGATAATATACGTGCAAAGAAGGGGTTCCTGACCACTTAGGACTTTTAACTCTACAGACTGTTTCCTCTACAAAGATGGTCTCTAGTTTGGGTCCTTAACACACCAAATCTGAATTCTTGTAAAAGTTCTTAATCTCTTCCACCTCTGTCATAAAACTGTCCTGATAATATTACTCCACTTCTCTGAAACCTGAAGCGCTTAGCAAAGTCCACAGGTGTTAGCTTAGCATTCAAGACTCTCTCTTTATCTGCGTTGTACTTGTTCTTCAAAGAGGAGTTTGGAAACCTTCTCTTCTCTACAGGCTCGTCCCATCACTTTTCTACTGATAGTTTGAAACCAGAGATGCTATTCACATCGCACGTGGAGCTTCTGAAACAGTTGCTCAGAACACAGTCCAGGCTTACTGAGTCAGTCTCCACCGGTGATTCTGAGCCCAGCCTTTAAAAAAGCAATTTCTTGCTGCTTTCTATTGTAGTTATTTGTAGACATGACACCTTCTCTTGATTGAAAACTCTTTAATTGGGAACTTTTTTATACATCTATGTTCCAGAAAGATCATTTTCAAATGAACACACCTTTGGCAAGTAAAAAATGCTGTACATTCTAAAACATTTCAAGGCAATAGACGTTAGTTTTTTTAGTGAACAAATAAAGATGTATTTGAAAATAGAGGCAGGACAAAAGATGGGGTATGAGGAAAACGTGCTTAAGAAAGCTGGTAGTTCAGGAATACAGTATTTAGGAAGGTTGCTGGGGCGAAGTGTTCTCAGGAGACAGTAAAGATTTTTTTAAAATCTAAGAATGGAGACCAGTGTTTTGGTTTTCTTTTTTCTTTCTACTATTAAATAACTGTTTTTCTTAGAAAAGAAATCTGGAGAAGTGGCTGTTCTGAAGAGAGATGGGCGATATATATATTACTTGGTAAGACGGGGCCAATTCTCAGCGCGTTCTAAGGATTGGTGAACAGATGGGCCGCACTGCAGTTGTGTTGATCGTGCTGTTCCATTCTAGTCAACCAAGGATGTCAAAACGCTTCTGATCTCCATCCACTGGTGGTGGCTGTTTGGAGCTCTGGGTTAGAAAGGAGCACGAGGCTGCATCCCAGCTCCATGGGAAAGAGTACTGTGATGCCCACCGAAGGCCTGTGTTCTAAGACGTGCAGAAATTAGGGATGCTTTCCGTACTTGAATTCCTTCCTAATCGTGGCAAGAGAGAAATAATAGTGTCTCAAGAGACAGCTTGTCCAGAGGGGTTCTTCCCTCATTCTTCCCCATCAAATGCAGTGCCGGGTAATCCTTAGCTCCTTTCCTGCCCGCTGCCTCAGTGTGGGATTTTCCCACCGTCCAAATGGTCTTCAGCCCCAGAAAGAGTGTAGCTTCTTGGTGTTGGTGCTGGGTGGCTTACGGCCAGTTCACTATAAGCCTAATTTGGACAGCATGCTGAGTGGGGACATGTTCTAGCCCCTTTGAATGCTGTCCTTAAGACCAACGTGACTTCTTGTTTGGAATGCTACCAGTTTCTCTGTTCTTTTCTAGAGAAACAAAAAGCAAGCAAGCACAGTTTCTAAATAAATAGACTTAACAGGAAATTTTCAGGTTGTATGGGTTCTTACAGATATGCAGCTTATCTCTTGGAAGTGGCACAAAGACTTTCACCCACCTTGCTTAAAAACCATAGATGATAGGCACAGCCTGCTAATCTCCTGGGCTTCTTGGGAGAAGGATAAGAGTATTACATGGCAGTGTCTGGTTTTCTCAGGCCCTATATAGTCGATTTTCCTGAGGGCCTCCCATAACTGGAAGGGACAGTGTGACATTTGTCATCCTTGCTCTAGACTATTCTGTAAAAATATACGTAATTGTCAGGATGTTGGGAGAGTGTGATGGCTTCTCTTGGGCTATCATTTTGGACTAATGGAAGTTTGAATTTGTTCTTTGTACTCAGATTACAAAGAAAAGGGCTTCGCACAAACCAACTTATGAAAACTTACAGAAGAGTTTAGAGGCTATGAAGTCCCATTGTCTGAAGAATGGAGTCACTGACCTCTCCATGCCCAGGCAAGGAAATCCACTGCCCTAAGTGAAGACTTAATTGATTGGTGGGGTTTACTGTCTTACACAAAGACAAATGACGTAAAAGCTTAACCGGGAATATAGACTTAAAGGTGGGCAGATTTCAAAACTTTTAAAAATCACCAATGAACCAGTTGTCAGGCCTTGGGCCAAGGCACACCCATTTCTTAGCCTGGGTTGAATGAATCAGGGTGATGAAAACACATGCCTGCCTCAGCCTGCTTAGTAGGGAGGAACCATCGTTCAGTCATGTTGGTTGAATCCAGGGCATCCTCTGTCTGAAGCGTAGCCTCTCTTCCTAAGGCAGTAGAAGCTAAAGAGCCAAGACCGAGAAATTGTGATTTCCCGCTGGGCCACTTCAGGGTCCCAAACCTGTTAGTCCTTTGTGAAGAAAGTTGCGAATTATCACTGTACTTTAAATTGCATGCTTGTCTGTGGTCAGTGTGGGTTGTAGCCCGAGGATATGTCCTTGATGTAACATCTAAGACCCTAGCTGTTGGGAACTTAAGGGAATGACGTTGGGGGTTCAGTATCCCCTTTGCTTCCTTTCCAGGAAACAGGCTTGCAGTCACTGCTTCTCCTCTCTAGTTTTGAGTTAGTGCTGACCATGCATGCCAGTTTATTCTGAGCCCCAAGTTACTTATGAGTGTGGCTACAGGCTCCCTCATCGTACACTGGTCTTTAATATATTCATGGCTTATGTATCAAAAACTTTTCTTTTTTAATAACAATTTTCTGGGGGATCTAATTATCACATTGTATGAAATTAGCAATTTTGAGCCTTTCTTTTTTCTCTAGGGATGTTGAGGGTCAATAAAAACAAGGTGCCAGGTAGTAGAGTTTTGTGGGCTGATTGCAGCTTCTCACCAGGATGTTGCAAAGACCCAAATTGGAATCAGCGTGGCGTTTCTCGGCATTCCATCTTGACTTCTTTTTGCAGAGATCCTGTCCTTTATCCCTCTTCTCTCTTTTATCTTCCTTAACATTCCGTTATCGTAAGTGTATTTTAAAAACACCAACCTTTTCCCATCCACCCACAGCTAGTATTCATCAGTAGATATAGAGGGATAGTGAGTCTCATGTCACGGCAGGTATACGTTTTTAAATGTAGCTGAAATAATTGGAAAGTGGTACCTTATTAGGCAAAAGAGAAGTGATAGCTATAGGATGATAGAGCTGTCTAGGAACAGCCTTGGGTGACACAACAGGAATTTACTTCCAGACTCCCACCGTGGCTGCCTGTGGGTGTGAGGCCAGATAGTTGGTGTTTATGCTATGGGTAGCTGTAGCCTGAAGAAGAGGGAAGGAGCGATTTCCTAGATGCCTTCATCACAACCAATGGAGATGTTTTGTCTTTTTCAGGATTGGGTGTGGTCTTGATCGTTTGCAATGGGAAAATGTATCCGCGATGATTGAGGAGGTGTTTGAGGCAACAGACATCAGAATTAACGTGTACACACTCTGAACAGAGGAGCATTTTGGATGTGTCCACGTTCTCCTGTGTCATCCCTGCTAGGACTGGGCAAACTGACCTTAGCATGGTCAGGGGAAAGTTTTGTGTGAAGTAGTCTGTGTCACAGGCCAGACTCGGGTTGCTGTATTCCCATGGTTCTGGGACTCTGAAGGAGGGATCGGTTGGGAAATGTTGCTCTGATTTTTTTTTTTTCTGCAGGAAGGTGAGGAGTGGATGGCCTGATAATAGGCAGGGAAACATGCTGTTGGGCCTGACTCCCGTTTTGCTTCAGAATGCTACCTGATTTGTTTGGCTTGCCACTAGGTGGCAGCATTGATTCTACTCCTCTGGTGTTTAAGAGAAATTTCAGGAAGGATGAATAGTTCAGTTAATTTTGCATTGTTTGTCATTTGTGCATTTGGTAATGTCGTATGTCATCAAATTCATCCCAGGAGAGCATTATGGGTTTTGTTTAAATTACAAAAACGAGTTTTACGTTGTTAACAAGGAATTTGTGGTGACAAAAATGGAAAAATAAATATCTTTTTCTTGGGGCCCAATGAGGTTTTGTGCACGTGTCTGTGTTGTGTTGTTCTGGACTTGGGCGATGGAAGGATTTACCTGTCACTTAATTTGTAAGAGTTAGACAGAGGGTCCAGTGGAAAGAACAGCTAGGTGAGAAATAATAAGAATGGATAAGAGCTGTGGGTTAATATACTGGAAAGGCAGGTTTTTATAATCTCACGGTGAACTCTTCCTCCCTTCTGTCTACCACATAGTTTCTGTGACTGAGTCTGTCTGAATTCAATCATGAAACAAATTCAATAGTATGTAATATGTGCAATGCCTGGCAAAGTGCTTAGTGCAGAGTAATGACTCAATAAATCAGTGGTTCACAATAAAATCCATATGAATCATAGAAAAAGAAAGCGTACTTCCTCCAAAAAAAATCTAATCTGGTAGTAGAAGGAGCTGGGCGATGGCCAGGTTTCTTTGTGTTTTTACACTCCAGAAGATTCTGATGTGCAGCCAGCTGGGATCAAGAATGGTAAATATTAGTCTCCTTTTCCTCCTAAGCTCCGAGCAGCACTTTGTCCACTCATGTTTTCATGGTGGGAGCATAAGGGTCCTGGATTTAGCCAGTGGTTCAGTGTAAGAGGCATTGGGAAAGCTAGTGGAGGTTTTTTTCCCCTTACTGTGGTGTTGAGTTAAAATAGCCAGACCTACTATTGATTTTCTCCCTAGAGTGAATCTAGGTCTGTCACAGGACTTGCTGCTTTCCCACGTATAAAAGAATATTTTAGAAGGGGCTTGTTGAAACACCAGGAAAACACTTGTTAAATAGAATCTTTGTACTTTAGACTTGGGTTCTTATCACATTTCAGCCTGATATGAGGCAGCAGTTTCCAAAATTATTGTACTTTTGTGTATCCGTGGAACAGAAATTCTCCATGTTGCTGGAGAAGGGGCAGTGTAGGGGCAAGTTCTTTGTCAAGCTTTTAGGCTAAGGCTTTTCCTGGAGCTTTGCTTCTGTCCCCACCCATACAGTAAAGTTGAAAGGAAGAAAAGGAGAGAAAGTCTGTGTAAAACTGAAAATAAGAGTGGGGTGATAAGGAAACTTAGAATTCAAGTATTTTGCTTAAGTATGCAAATAAATCTTAACACTTGGCTCAAAACACTGGTTTTCTAAGCTTCTACATTAAACGGGTTAAGGGTTAATTTTTTTTCATAGAATATGAGCCTTGATGATTCCTTTAACAAAACCCCGTCTCCTGGAGGACTGGCTGTAAGTGGAACTCTGGGACTGGGCAGGGATGTGATAAAGTGGTTTGTCATTTGCAGATAGTCTTGGGGTCAAATTCCGATGACTTATCACACTTAAAGCCTGGGGAAAGGAGGCATTGCCTGATAATCAGAATGAACACATTATTCCTGGAAACCTGGTTAGCATTTGGCAAACACCCCAGAAATTCACATGTGAAGTTTTGCCTCTATATAAGACTCCAACAGACCTTTTAAGAAATGGGGCTTTTGATGTCATCCTGCCATCACTGAGTAGCACGTACTGACTACTCTTACATTCTGTGTATCTGAACGTTGCAATCCTGCTTCCCACTGTCTCCTCTCTAATCTAGAAGCTAATTGTGGGCCGGGCCCTGTGGCCGAGTGGTTAAAGTTCCCTGTGCTGTGCTTCAGCAGCCTGGGTTTGTGGGTTTGGATCCCGGGCGTAGACCTACTCCACTCACCAGCCACACTGTGGAGGCATCACACATACAAAAAAATGGAGGAAGATTGGCACAGATGTTAGCTCGGAGCTAATCTTCCCCAGCAAAAAAAGAAGAGGATTGGCAATAGATGTTAGCTCAGGGTAAATCTTCCTCAGTAAAAAAAGAAGCTAATTGCCTATTAATAGGCAATTAGGACATCGATACCTTATAAGCAGATTTCCCATGCCTTTTGTTTCACCCTCAGTCACAGTTCTTGTTTTCAGAGAAGGGAAAAGAAATTCAAAAGTAATGTCAGAAGAAAATATTTTACGAAGGTCAAAACCAGGGTGGGAAGTCTGCATGGGAGAGCTGGTATCCTGTGTCGCCTAGAGAAGTCCTGGGTTAAGCCTCACCATACAAAGTCATGGCGTGGTTTATAGCCTGGGACATCCCTATTCCTGGGATTTGCTCACTGTCCATAATAGCTTGTAAATGTGCAAGTTCCTCAAAAGACCTGGTCACACAAAAACCACACCACTTCTTTTATTAATGTTGCTGTTTTTCTTTCTTAAAAAAAAACAAAACCAACTTAACATAAAATGTGTTTTTGGACATTTTTCAAAGATTTGGCAGACCTTCAGTCTGAGGCTCTTTACCTTAAGCAGCCCATTTGGGGCAGAATTGGGACCTTCAGCCCCACGATGCCCAGTGCCCATATATGGTCGCCATTTCTCCTCTTGCAGCTCACTTTCCTCTTTCCCGAGAGCAGCCTTAGAGAGAGAGAGAGGCATGGCTTAAGTGATTTACAGCATGAGGAGTGTATATGAGGAGTGTATTTTGAGTCCTCAGAGGCCTTGCGCAGTAGGATTGGTTGGTGTCAAATGTTGTCCAGCTCCAAGTGGTGTTAGGAAGTCAGACATGTCCCGGATGGCCATACATGTCACTGCTGTCTCTTGGTGGCAGCAGGCAGACCTTAGTGAGAGAACAGAAAGCATGTTACCGAGAGCCCCACTGGCCCCAAACAATGACGAGTTTTCTTTTTGAGCTAAGGTTTCTGTGTGCCTTGCTCAACAAGTCCCTGAATTTCTCCTCTGTAGTCTCCTGTGCTTTCTAGTTTACCCAGAATTGGATTTGTTTCATTTTTTGGTGTGGTTCACACAGAAAGCCCCAGAAGAGATCTGCTTTAACTGTTCTCTTGAGTTAAGAGAACAGTTGGGAAGGTTAAATCCTGTTCTGTCATTTTTAAAAGATGGAAGAAGAAATGTGAGGCAAGTTTTCTTTAACCAATGCCCATCTCTTGGGAGTATTTTAATTAAGAAGAATTGTTCTTTTTGGCTTTTAGATTATAACTCTACTTCATGCCAACATTTTTTTTTTTTTAACTTGGTACATTTTGACCTTTCCCTTCAGGAGCATGAGCAACTCAGTACATGGACGCATGTTCATGTGTCCAGATAATACAATTATGTACACTAATGGAAGGAGGCTTATAATGTGGCACATGTCCAATAAGATTTTATTTTAAAATAATTTGACTTAGAAATGGATTTTTCCCCTCACAGATTTATCTTTTACTTCTGTTTAGATTAGTATAAGATACAGCCCTCATTAGCCAAAATTAAAAGCTCTTTTTAATCCCTCTTGAAATGCTTGATTTTTATAGCAAATTCAGCTACCTAGTTATTTGACTTTATGAAAAATAAACAACACACACAGATCCCTGAGGACTTGCTAGTTAGGCAGCTAGAAGAAGTGGCCCCCGACTGTGAAATATGTTTAAGAAGAAAGCGTACTGGAGTTAAAATTAAGCTAGCAGTCATCATCCTATAGAGTCTATGTAGAGTTTATAATTACAGTGATAGTACCTACATTGACAAAATCGTCAAAAAATTTAAAAGTTAATTCTGTATTTCCAGAGGTCACCCTTAGAAATCTGTTTTTATTACTACTCATCACCACGCAGAGTGGTGTCTTCTTTTATGTGAAGGGAGTACCAACCATTGTCTCACTGAATTCAGTCAGTGGGTCCTACTCTTTGTAAGGAATGGCTGAAAATTGTGAGTTCGCAGATTGGCGAATGCTCAGCTTAAGAATCATCAGGCCCCCTGTGTGCATGCCCAATAGCAAACGCCTGCCACCGTCAAGATCTGGAACATCGATGTTGCCGAAACGTGTCTATGAAGTGACATCTTCTCTTGAGTATTAAGAGTAAGAGGCACCAAAAATCAATGGAATATCTTCATGGAAGCTGGCTGCATTCGTGTTTTATTAATATGTGAGTTGTTCCAGAATTAGAGCTGGATAAGAGGGTGATGGAGACCCTCTCTCTGTTGCTGGAGGATTTTGATCAGTAACTGAGCCCTTGTAAAGGGACTTTGTCATAGCATTTCTGTGGGAGCAAACTAGATCAGACCAAATTCAAAAAAGGATGGTGAAGGATCCTTTACCCTCTTTCCTGAGGGTAATTGGTCTGTTTCTGTAAGAGTCTAATTTACCCTCAGCAAGAGGCCAAATTGGCCTTAATTGTGTCCTAATTATTTGCTTAAATAGCTAATCTTTACTTCCTGTTCTCCGATCACCTCCTGATATCTGTAGGTGGCTACTTCTTAGCTGCCACCTAATGTATAAACATTGTTTTAACCCTTTAAACATTCCTGCATAGAAGAACTTGTTGCTGTATTATCCCCATTCCCACATTCAGCCTTCTGTGAGTTCTGCTGAGGTCTTCTCAACATAAGAAAAATGTTCTTGCATTGCACATTCACACAGCAATTATTGATCTCCCTCAAAGTGGAACCACTTGTTTGAAAAGATGAAAGCTGCTCTCGCCAAAAAAAATGTTGAATACAAATCTATTTTGGGAATTTCCAGAGTACCAAAAATGAAAAAAAGTGCTCCTGAAGAAATGAAAAATCTGCTTTTGAGAAAAATGGAATGATAAGATTACAAATGGTGGGAGCAGGGCATCTAGGAGGTGTCCAGGGCTTAGAAAGTCCAGACGCATGTACATGGGGGCATGCCCGGGGGATTGAACTATCTTCTCTGAGGTTGTTTGGGAACAGGTCCTTGCACCATCTAAATCCTCCTATGGACAGTCACTGTGTCATCAGAGCTTTCAGATATCTGTCATCCTTGAGCATTCCAAGTCATGGGGAAAGTTAGTTTGACATAAAAGGGTAGGAGGGAAAAGGATTTAGGGAGAACGATTTAAAGGAAAGAGAAGAGGAGACGGGATCTACTGAAATGTTTTTACAATGAACCCAAAGCAGAGAAATGAAATCCTTCCAGAGGAAAATCAAACATACTGCTCGTTCCACCTGACCTCAAGCCTTCCACCCAAGCCGACAGTTAGTGGAGCGATGGTGCCATGCATGACTCACGTGAGGCTGAGCCCGGTCGCCTATTTGAGGATGTCCGCCAGCTTCTCCTCGTAGTACAGGAAGTTCTCCTGAATGTCCTCCCAGGGCTCAAAGGTCTTGGATTCGCCCTCTTCTTGCTCCACAAAATTCTGCCAGACGTACTCGAAGTCCTGGGGCTTCATGATGCGCAGTCTGCAGCCGGCCTCCTTCAGCTTCTTCAGAGCCGCCTGGATCTCGGGCTCCTCCCACATGAAGAGTCGCCCCACCAGAATGAGCAGGCGCAGATTCTTGGTCTTGCTGAGGGTTTTGATAATGCGGTCAGCGCAGGCCGCGCAAGGGCTGGAGGACACGTACCAGGTGACGTTGTACCGCAGGGCCGGGTCAAAGGCCGGCATGATGGTGTTGAAGAAGGCTTCCTCCGCGTGGGCAGCGGCGTGCTCGTCCTCTAGGTAGCCCCGGGACGCCTGCACTTGGCCTCCCTTGCTCTGCGCCTCAACCACGTAGCAGAGGAAGGTCTTGTTCCTCCCAGAACTGTACTCCACATTCCGGAACTGAAACTTGAAGAAGTTGACAGGGAGCCGCTCCCTGTGGGTCAAGGAGACAAAGGGACAGGGAAGAAGGGAGAATGATGAGTTCTTGTTTCTACGACCAGCCTGGAGGAGGTAGCTCTCCAAGATCAGTACCTCAGAGCTATATTCATGCTTACTATTAAAATGGGCCTTGCCTACGCTAACACCAGTGACAAAAAGTCATGAAAGAATCCAGAAGGGTTTATCTGGAGGAAAGGAGAGAATTTCGAGTGAGGTGTGCATTCTGGTCACCCCATTGGGAAGGGTCTCCAAACACTCCACCATCACTCCCAGCACACAACACACTCCTACATTTCTAAATCAGTCAATCTTTAACCCGGCTATACGTTAGAAACACCTAGAGACTCCACACACGTCAATGCCTGCACCCAACACCAAACCAATTAAATCAGAACATGTGGGGTGGGGGCAGGCATCAGCATTTTTTTCAAAAGCTCTCCAGATGATTCTAATATGTGGCCAGGTTTGAAAAGCACTGTGCAAATAGTAATTTTACCAAGTAGCAAGCTTGTAAAATTTCTCATGACAGCAAGACCAAGATTTTGCAAAACATTTGATGCTTTCATTTTTCCTCCTTGTCACTCATGTACATTGCATCTTAGGTATGGAATGGTCTACAACTTGCAGTCCCATGCTCTCCTGGTGACTTTTTCTCAGGTCTGTCTTTTCCCTCAAGTTGAAAGAAGGGTTGTTACATCACTATCCAAGAAACTTTATCTTTGAGGTCAGACTGTCTAAGGGCATCTTGATATGATTTAGCTTGTATATAGTATTGAGTCATTTCAAAATTGTAAAAGACTTGGCCTTTGCCCTCCAGATGCTTGTAATCTAGCAGCTAGATTGTAGCTAGACAGAGAAGATGTCGATAAGATAGCTGAGACTTCTAGTAGTCAGGTAGAGTGGAGGACGTATGATAAAGGTTCTCCTTGATTCAGGAGGTAAGAGAGAATTGTTACATGTTCTTAAGTAAAGAAAGGCACAATAAAATGATGTGCCCGGAACAGTGGCTTAAGCAGATAGAGTGAAGCTGGGGAAAAGCCTAAAATTTAGAAAGCCCCCTTGGTGTCTGAGGACACCAGACTTGGTGATGAATATGCCCAGTGGCTTCAAAGGGGAGGTGGATAATTAAGAAACGAAAGCAGCAGAAAAAGGCCAGGTTTTGGGAAAGCTTGGTAGTAATAAGAAGAAGAGAAAAAAGAAGAGGTGCTAGGGAGGGCATCACAGTTGAAGGTTGTTTTTATCTTTATGTGGACGTGTGTGTTTTTCTAAAATAGGGAAGATATGTGAAGGTTTGAAGGCCAAGAAGAATGAGGAGGCTGTCACAGGAGAGATTGACTATGTCAGAAGGAGAGGAGGGGCTGAGTACCAGCTGCAGAGGCTGAATGTTTTCTTTTTAAAAATGTAATCTCCGTGGCTGCCCCAGAAGATGCCCTATGGCAACCATTAACTCTGCTGTCGCTTCTCTACACCCCTCCCCTCTCCCCAGAGAGGTCACCCAACTCCCTGGGCTGCAGGGGAATCCCTGGTGTCCCAGGGCCTGGGCTCCTTAGGGCTAAGCAGCAGGTGCCAGAGAGTCGAGGAAACTTGAGCTGTCTCCCTGCAGTGCTCTGCTCGCTCCAGCACCACGTTTTTTCCACCCAACTTTCCATGCTCCTTGCTGTCAAGTTCAGTTTCCACTGTGGAGACGGATGTGTTTGAGGACCCAGCCCTGGGATTCCTTTGGGTACTATATTTAGCTCTCTAAGTCCCTCTGTCCCTGGTTGGATGTGTTTATTATTTACTTAACATTCTGGGAGAATGGATGGCCTGATGACTCCCTTCTCCTCTTTCACTCCTGCCGGGAATTCACGTATAGTGAGCTCTGCCCAGTAAAACTCACCCCACCAGACCACTCCTGAACTCTGCCCAGTTGCTAAATGCACCTTCACCTCCTGAAGTGGCTTTTGCCTCCTGAGAAGCACAGAGCTTACCCTTCTTGCCCAAACCCTATTTTGCTCTTTAAGACCTTTGGCCAGACCATCCCCCTCCCCAAGTCCAATCCAGAGCTACCTGTATGATAGATTCTCAGGTGGAACCCTTGGAAGTATTCATGGCTACTTGGTTGGCTTGGGGGCTTCAGCCAGAGCTGCCCATGTGGTCCCTCAGATTTCCTTCTGGAACCTCCAAAAGTATTGCTTCAACCTTGCCAAGTACCGCCCAGCCAAGAGTATGAATTTGGCCCAGCATGCAATCACAAGTTGGCTGGATGGTCTGAGACGGCTGCTTCTCTCAGCCCCTCTTAAGCTCTGATGTTTTTCCCTCCTCCTCTTTCCTAGGCAAGAGGAGAGGACCCAGAGAAACCTGAAACCCAAGGGAGAGAAAGAAAGTTGACCTCCCTATAAATATCAGTTTCCAACCCCTCCAGCCAGCAGCCCCAAGGTCTGCTCCATCCCTTGGCAGGGCCTCTGGACTACGTGCCTCGGAAAGGGAAGTGCTTTCAAGGGGCAAAGGGAAGTCACGGAAGGTCTAGGCTCCCAGTCTTCCGTTTGGGCTTGCTCAGAGACTGAGCTTACTTGGCTTCTCAATGGGCTTCTTGGTTTTCTAGAAGGAGCGTAAAGGTTGATTGAGGTTCTCTGGGACTCCCACAGGCTGAAACAGTCATGCCCTGGGGGGAAACCAGGAGAACAGAGGTGGTAGAAGTCTGAAATTTCTCCAGGGAGCTAGACAACATGGCCATCTCTGGTGATATTACAGAATCACAAAGTCAGTCAACACTGTTATGACCACTAGTGGAAGGAAGGAAATAGTGACATTAATATCCTGGATAATCACATCATCTTTTTTTTTTTTTTCTAGTAGCATGATATACCTGAGTAACATATTTACTTATATTGTAGCCCTTTACTCTCAACTCCAGCAGATATTTTACTGCTAAAGTGGAATGTGTGTGTGTGTGTGTGTGTGTTGCAGTGGTGATCAGGAGAGAGATACCAATGGTAGATTTCTTCACCTGGACTCAGTCACTTCTACAGGCACAGAAACCAACAGCATTATTCCTACTCCCTCCCCCTAGCCTTAGACAGCACCTCTTTAAGCACCAATTCCTGTACTTTTTGCAAACAAGGTCATTCACACTTCATCTGCTTAGAACCAGGCTGCTGGGCATCGCAATTCCCTTGGCAGGAAACCAAGAATCCTAAATCTAAAAGTTGAGAGGATGGTCTGCTTGATGGAGGGAGAAGGGAGGTGAGTAAATGTGATCATATATGTATTTTTCTCCTGTTCACATTAAGAAACATTTGCATTTCCTAAGCATACGTCTATACAGTGAAAGGAAGCCAACTGGAGGACAGTAGAAGCTGATCTAAGATTAAACATTTGCTCCAAAATAATCCATGGAATGGGACATCTTCTCACAGGGAACTGAGTGTTGACTGATCCAGCTTTCTTCTCTAGGCCTTTCATGACCTGCTTGAAAGAGGCAGAATTGCCCGTTTCAGCTTCCTTTTCCCTTTTTCAGACCACTTTCAAAGTGGATGCTAAGGAGTGGGCATAGCCAGAAGGAGGAGTGTGGATAAGCAGAGAGTTCTATCAGCCAGACTTCCTGGAGCTGAGTGCTTGCTCCAGATTTGCAGTTCTGGAAGGGAGTCTGCTGGCGGCCAGCCCTGAGCCCACCCCTTCTCCCTGGGAAGCACCATCTTCACACCTTCCAACAACGCTCCGTGGAGGCCAGGTGGCCAGAGTCAGTGGCTGTTTTCTATTCTTTATGGAGCACTCCTCCCCAGCACGCTCCAGGGTCCAGGGCAAGGAGTGAGGGGGTTGTGGCATTAACAGTGGTGTCGAAGGTCCCTCACTCCTTGCCCATCCCTTCTCCCCTGAACCCTGCCTCTTCTCTGTTCTTCACGTGGCTGAAGTAAACTACTGGGAGCTAAAGAAGTGGGTGAAAGGAGAATCACTGCCTGTGCCACTTATCTCTGTTCCGTGATAACCGAGATAACGTGATAGCAGGTTTAGCTTTACGCACAAGCACACACAACACACCAGAGACAAAGACAAACACTCATCGAGGGGTCCTGCCAGGCAGAGCTGCAGTCACTCATCACGGGGGTGGAGGGATGAGGAGACGACGATTCTGGTGCCCAGAGCTTTCCTGTGGCTGCTGGTTCAGAGGAAGCAGGGACCAGCAAAGGTCCTTTAAGCCTGGCGCTCCTGGCCCTCCACACATCCCGAACGCCCCTCCTCAAGAGGCCCTCCCCCCTTAACTCCCCATCCGAGGCCTGGTGGAGAGCCCAACACGCTCCCTCATCAGTTCGTTCAGTTCTTCAACAAATATTTCTTGAGTACCTATTAGAAGCTGGTACTGTTCTTGGCGCTAGAGATAAAGCAGTTAAAAGGCAAAGTCCCTGTCCTCGTGGAGGTTAAATACTAGTGGGGAGAACGGGCAGTGAATAAACTATCCCTCTTCAGTAAATATTTGTTGAATATAAAAAGACTCCTCTTTATGGCTTTTTTAGACACAGTGTGGTGATTTGGAGTCAGACAGTCCTGGGGGTCACGCCCTACTCCATCCACTAACTTTGGGCAAATTACTCATCCCTCTGAGGCTTGGTTTCCTCATCTGAAAGAGTGATCAGCCTCTCAGGTTTGGGGCAGTGGTCGACGCTCAAGAAATTAAACCTAGTAGTGATGGATGGTGCCTTCTCCCGGCCTCACACCTCACCCCACAGAGCTTGGTCTTAAGCACTACCAAACCTTCTCTACTCTTCCTCTTGTTTTCAGAGGGTTCTCTCTTTCAGCGATGTGCTGGTTTTAACATCCAGCTTTCTGAAAGAAGAAAGCCCTGGTTTCTAACTTGTGTTGATTTCTGTAAACACTCCCACTACGGAGATTTCAAGAAACCAACATGAAGTCGCTGAATGCAGGGCTGGGAAGAGATGCACACAATCGACTCAGCCAGCATGAGCTGACTTGGGCACACCACCTCAGTTTTAGACCTTTTTCTAGCACTTTCCACTGCATTATTTTGTTAACGTTCTTAGGTCTGTTCTCTATCCTGAGTGCCCTATTCAAACCAGAATCACAACAAGCAGGGCGTCTCTCTCCTTATTATTGCCTGACTCCCTCCTTGCCTCACACTGTGTCCTGGAAAGCTGCTAGCTCTTCTGGTAGTTTGTGGCCCAAACTGAAGGAGTGGTGGGGATAGACCCATCCCCCGGGAGGGTCCAGCTGGGAGAGGAGCTGACCCCTTTGCCTCCGGGGCATCAGTAGAGAGAAGGGGAGGAAAGCTCTTCCCTCATCCTGTCCCTGCACAGACACTGCTGCACCTCTGGGCTATTTTAAGCCGTCTGTTTACCCGGAGGGGCCCAGGAGATAGAGCTCCACAGCTGTTACTTGTGGCCGGGAAACACTCAGGGCTCCACCTCCCTCCAGAGCGGCTCTCAGAGCACCCAGGAAGCTGCGCGCTGTGCCTCATTTCTCAGCCTTGGGCAATGGAAGCCTCTGAGCCTCGCTACCTCATAGATGGAGATGGGTGGAGCTCTGCATGGGAAACCTGGGACCCAGAGTGAATAAGGGACCAGTGGAAAGGACGCTTGGCTGGAGTCAGAAGACTTGCCACTTAGTGGTTCTGTGGCCTTGAACAAGTCACTCAATCTCCTTGATTGAGTCACTTAGCTTCCCCATCTGTCGTGTGGCAATAATGTGTCTCCCTCTCCTAGCATTGTGTGAAAGTATGCTGTAGTGAGAAAGCCCTGGACAAATTTAAGTGACATCAGGGGTTTTATCCTTTCAAACCCACCACCCTGAGACCCCAAGGCCTGTTCAACTCAACAGCCACAGTCTAACTCTGTTCTGGACCTGGCCTGCCCTGTGCTGGGGAGATCACGACACAGAGTGGAGTGTGTGCACGTGCCTGTGTGTGTGACCAAGGGCAGCCTGGACCAGCACGCTTAGGTGTCAGAAAAGGAATCGAGGACTTTCCTCACCTGGCGGCCTACACTCTCCCTCTGCCTATATTAATCTGTGCCCTGCTGCTCCTTCAGTCCTTTGAAAAAAGTGGCATTAGCTCTTTGGGCCAGGGCCTCTTACCTGAACTCTTGCCTCAGGAACTAGGATGCATTTTCTCTTAGGTTCTCTTAGAAATCCTAAAGTATCTGAGCTGCAAGGGATCTTAGGAATCAACTAGTGTCACTTCGTCATGTTACAAATGAAAAAACAGGCTGGGACTGGAAAACCCCTTGCCAAGCTTGAACAGCAGTCCAAATTGCCACCCAGGGCTCCTTCTGCCCCTTGACATCGCGCCTCCATTCTTCTGGAAGTTTCTGCTGGTGTGGCCCCTACTCTGCCTGTCTCATTGTTGGAGACTCCCAGGAAGAGAAACTTGGGGCTCCAGAAGGAAATGTGGCCCCACGTATCCCCGTCTTATTCTTTGCTCAGGAACTTAGCAGGGTCTTCTGCTCAGGGGACAGAGAGGGAAGAGGAGGAAAGCTACTTGGCTTCATGCCCACAGATGACATAATCTGGACAAGACAGAGGGCCCCTGTTTGTACCCCCCTCTTTGGAGCCTCTAGACCCTTCGCTCTGGGTCCTGGCTCCTCCGGGCTGTGGCTGAGGGTGTTGGAACCCCTTCTCTGTCCAGAAGCTCCTGGCCCTGGCCTGTGTTACCTGCACTGTAACTTCTCTGTTTCCCTGGGGGTGGGGGTGGAGGTGGACAGGCCCTGTGGAGATGCAGAAAAGATTCAACAAGAAAAACATTGCTTCTCACTCCGCCGTGGGAAAGGAGGGATCTGTGTCCCCTGTCTCAGGATCTTCTACTCCAGACAGAAGCTCTCAAGAAAGAGTGAGACATAGAGACAGAGGAGAGGCCCACGCAGAAGCAGAGAGGAGAGCTGAGGGGGAAGGTCCTTTGACTGGGGCCATATTTAAATGCATCAGTGTCATCCTACCTTCTTAGCAAACTCCCTGGGACTAAACAGCTTCTACTCAGAAAGGCAGCTGACGTCCCAATACCAGGAGGCCTGTGGGGGGGTGGTTCAGGCTCTGAGCTCCATGGAGCTCCTCCTACCTCCCTTGATTAGAGGGTCCAGGGTGTCACCCCGAGAAACCAAGAGATAGGCTGCGGGTCCCCTGCAGCCCCTACCCTGCACACCTGTGCACTCTCGAGGCTGCAGGATTGTGACCGTGACCCCTGCTGCTGCCCTCCTAGTTCCCCAGCCTGCCCCACCCCAGCACACTCTTCCAGGCAGGAGGACCCCGGCCCACACCCGGCTCTCACCCTGTGACGATCTCGAAGGGTGGCAGCTCGATCAGTTCCTTCAGCTTCTCAGGGTCGTCCAGGTCCTCCAGATCCTCGCCGTTCTGGGAGGTGGGCGCAGCGGCCTCAGGGGACTCTTCTTTCTGGGCCATGGAGAGGCTGTGGCTCAGGAGTCACTGAGAAAGGAGAGGTGGATGTTGGGGCCAGGGGCTGGCAGCAGAATCCCAAGCAGCTGTCAGCAGCTAAATCTGCCCGGGGATGACGGAAGGGGACCGGGCAGGCCAGGCTGACTGTGCTCACCCCCGGGCCCCAGGCTTTATAACCAGAGCCCTCCTGCCCCTCCCCCCGTCCTCTCTCTCTCTATCTTTTTTTAATTGAGTGACGGGTGGGTGCGGGCTGAGGGGAATGGAAAATCTGGCCATTAGTATCCCCTATTTATCAGTAGGCAAAGACAGGAAGCTGGCAGATGGGGATATCTTGGCCTGCTCTCCCTCCCCCCCAGCTCACACAATATTCATATTCTCCCCCTCCCTCATCTTATATCCTCCCCTTTGTTTCCCACTCAACTTTCCCAACTCCACTGGGGGGTTGTGGAAGGGGCCCAGGGCGGCCATCCTCTCAGAGGTTTAAGCAGGACGAGGCTTGTGCTGGAAGCGGGTGGTGGCAGCAAGGAGACCTAGGCCAGTTTGGTGGGGGAAACTTGGGATCAGGAGGGGAGGGTCCTGGGATGGCCCAGGTCAGAACTGCTGATCTAGAAAGAAACTGGGAGTTGTTCCTCAAAGGGAGCGGACGCCGATCTGCCTGTTACAGACACATAATGCCGTGTCAAATCGACTGGGAGCCTCCAATGGCAACAATGCTGTCATTTACTAAGCTTTGAGTTTTGGAAATAGGCCAGGCAGTGGGTTTAGTGGTTTACATGTGGAATTGGACTTAATGCTCTCACCAGCCCTGGGGGACAATGTGTGTTATCCTCATGTTACACGAAAGGAAACTGAGACTCATGGAAGGTTCAGGGCTTTGCTTAAGGTCATAGGCCCCTAAGAGGCAGAGCCAGGATTAAAACCCAGGCCTTTTTACTCAAGAGGCCAAACATTCAACCACCATGCTATGTTGCCTCTCAGTCAGTCCTTTATTCATTCAACAAACATTTATTGAGCATCTGATATATGCCAGGTGCTGTTGCAGGTACTGGGGAAATGGCAAAGAACAAAACAAATGAAAACCCCTGCCTCACAGAGCTTGGGAGAGTTGAACAACTAACAGGATAAGAAATATATGTGGTATGTTTGGTGGTGCTAAGTGCTAAGGGGAAAAGGCAGGGAAAGTGGACAGCGTGGCAAGGGATGGGGTTATGTTTTTATTAGGGTGGCTGGGGAAGGACTTTGAAAATGTGACAATTGGGAGAAGATCTGAAGGAGATGAGGGAAATAATCATGTGGCTATCTAAGGGGAAGGTGTTCCAAGAAGAGGAAGAGTAGGTGCAAAGGCCCTGAGGTGGGGGCATCCCTGGTCTATGTGAGGAACGAGCAAGGATACCTGTGTGACTAGAGCGATAAACAAGTGCTAAATAGGTGGGGGCCTCATGGGCATTACAAGGACCTTGGCTTTTTCTCTGAGTGATATGGGAAGCCACTGTCCTTGAACAGATGAGACACATGGTCCAATTTATATTTTTACGGGATCACCTATGCTGCTTTGTTGAGAATAGTCTAAAAGTGGGAAAGAACAGAAGCAGAGGGGCCAGTTAGAAGCCTGTTGAACCTAATGAGAGATGACTGGTGCCCCTAGAAAAATCCTTGAGCTGGAACAGCATCGAAAGATGGCCAGATGATTTTTCCAGTTCCCATGATGGCTTAGCAGGAGCCACAAGTTTTCAAGTTTGGGGCAGTGCAAACACTCTAGAACATTCTCAGGGCAATGGAAGGGTGGGGTCAGAGTCACCTACAGGTTGAAAGCAAGGAAGCTAAGAACACTGGGGACCTGGCCTGAACACAGCTCCCAGTGGCGTTGGGTGGGGCGGTGAGGAGGCAGGGTTCCCCTTCCGGGTCTGACTAGAGGGTAGGAGTCAGAGGGTTTGGCGGGTTTGGGGCTCTCTCCTCCAGAGAGTTCTGAGCAGCACGGGGCCCCGTGAGTAAGACGCCCAAGCATTTTGATTCACCTGGGACAGTCTTAGTTTATACCTACTGTCCAGGCCAAATTACTACTAGCGCCCCTTTCACTGCCCAAAGTGTCCTAGTGTAGACAATACACTATATGGTCACCCTATCCATTGGGCGTATTACTAAGAGCATGCTTATCCAGAGATTGTTTTCTTCAGGCATTTTTCCAGGGGTGTAACACAGGGTGGTGGTAGTAGTGCCTGTGTCCACACAGAAAAGGCAGCGATAGCTGATCTGCAGCAAACAGACAGTATTATTATTATCATCGTCACACAAACACACGGCATTTAAATGCAAAGAGTTCACGTCATGCTTTTGTTTGATCAACGTTTGTCGAGGGCTCCTATGTGCCAGGCAAGAACACAGAGATGAGTGCGGTGCTGCCTGCCCCGGGACTCCCAGTCTTTATGACCTTTGGGGCATTCCTCAGGCACTCGAGCGTGCGTTATCTCAGTCAGTCCTCACACCAATCTCACACTGGCCGCCTTTTCCAAGTAAGGGACCTGTGGCTCAGCAAGGCGAAGCGCTGTGCACAAGGTCACGCGAGGATTTGAGTCCAGGTCTTCTGAGCCTACGTCGGCCTTATTTCCAGGGCTGCACCCGGCCAGCTCTGATGAATACATCTCTAACACGTTATCACCGTGTCCCTCTCCCGCTTCCGGTCACAGCTAAAGTGACGTGCTTGGGTCAGCTGAAGAAAACTAAAATGTCTGCGGGGGTGGGGAGAAGCAAGGAGGAGGATCCTTTTAATTCACTCTTCTCCCACAGGAAAGGCTTCCATCTTGAGGAAGCTTCTTATATTTTGGCTGTCTATAACCCTGCATTGGGAGGGGGAAAAAATCTATGTTCATATCCCCATCTCAACCCTTCACTCACTGTATGATCTTGGCCAAATCACTTAGCATCTCTGGGCCTCAGTTTCCCACCTGTGACACAGGCCAAGCTATTGCTCTCTATTCCAGGTTGGTCAGAGGGATGAGAATGAGGAAGCAGGGCTGGCTCCCGCAGACCCGCTGGGTGGAAATGAACAGTGCAGTGAACATTTTCGGACTCTGAGTCATGTTGGGAGATGGTGCAGAGGTGGTCCCAGGCTGGTCCTCTTTGAAGAGGTGACTCCTCACTCCCTCCACCCCGTCTAGTTTTTCCTTTGACACTTGGGAGAGTGCCTTGGGCCTTCCCCTGGACTAATGATTGACAGCTTCCTTTTCCACTGCTCCTTTCCAGCCTCCCCCTGCTGGCCCCCCATCCCCGGAGGCCCTCTGACTGCTCTGGCTATTTATGGCACCTCCTGGGGGCCTGAATTCCTGCTTGGTCCCTGGCTCTCCTTTCCAAGTCAGACCAGTTTCCCTGGCAGGCCCCAGAGTGCAGCAGCTAATCTGAGGGATCAGGTGTGGGGAGCCTGACTCCTCCCCCTGCAGCTGCCACTCTCCTCTTTTTAGGGCAGGTGTTCCCCATGGTAACACGTCTGGGTAAGTTTCTATCAGTACGCCCCTCCTGCAAAGGATGAAAATGGGAAATAAGGTATTTAGTTCAAGGTCACACAAGGAGTCAGTGGGGTGCTGGGATTTGAACCCAGGTCTATGAGCCTCCAAGCTCCATGTGTTATGCTGCCTGGAATTCATTGAGAGTTGACACTAGCACAGCCCTTACTGGGGGCCTGACGCTGCTCGAGCAAGTTCGTGTAAATTAACTTACTGCTCACAAGAATGTGGGGGTACTATTATCCTTATTCTATTGGTGAGGAAATTGAGACTAGAGAGGTTAAGTGACTTGCCCAAGGTCACACAGCTAATGAGAGCAGAGCTGTGTGCTTCCAGAGTCATGCTCCAACCTCTTTACCGTCTAATCCCTACTGCTGCCAGCACCCCTGAGGCCAGGCTCTGAGGGAGGAGGGGAGAGAAGGGGACTAGAGGAGAAGTTCTTGCAAGGAGATGGAGCTCTGGAAGCAACTGGTCTATGAGGGTGTGTGTGTGTGTTTAGGAATAGAGGCACCAGCCATCTGGTGAGTGGGGACAAAAACCACAAAGGGCATTCTCTCAATTTGTCTCTGCAGGCCACAGCCACCTTCTGTCAAGCGGCAGTGGCTGGACAGAGCTGGGTTAGGCCCAGGACACACTGCAGCCTGCCTCTCCCTGTCCCATTTCCCATGGTCATTTCAGAAAACATTCGGAGGTTTGTAGAAGGTGGCTGAGGAGGAGGGGACAGGGTCAGGCATGGCCGGATGCCGAGCTGCCCTCCCTGGGAAGGAGTGGAGAGGCCAGGAGGGGGGCTGGCGGAAAATAGAAACCTCACCAGGGGAAGGTTTAAATTCTCGCTCTGTGAAAGAAGACACCTCGGGAGCACGTCGATGGAGTGGGCGCTTTACGTGCAGGAACAGCTGGGACCCCAACAGCCCGTTGCCCCAGAGACCCAGCCTGGGTGTCCCCACCCCCGGTCACTACCGAGACGAGGTACACAAACAACAGGCCACGGGCACCAGACACCCCCTGGCGGGCGAGAGCCTGCACCCTCCAGCAACCGCTCTGTTGACATAAACACGGGGGTGTCCAGAGCCTTGGCTGGGTGGGGGGTGGGGGCTGGGGGCCTCCCAGAGTCTGAGACTGGTATCGGAGAAGGCACCAGAATCACAGGGCAGGCCAGGGGTTTCAGTCCTCTCCTGTGCGGGACGCAATGCTCGACTTGCATGCTGCCCCGGGGAAAATGGTGACACCTCGGACTTTAGTCCTGGTGGCTGCGGTCCTCTGTTCCAGCGGCCACTCCTGGTGCCGCCCAGCTCCCGCAGCTGGCACACTTGAGTCTTTGAGGAAAATGATCCGATAAGAATCAGGCACATTAAGGTGACTAATAGTGTTTCTTTTTTCTTTTTTGTTTTTTACCTGCATGAACTAAAATTTATTTTTATCATCACTTAACCGCTATTATATTTTGTTTTTTCATGGAGTTTTCTGATATTTCTGGTAATGGCATGACAATACAGATATTGCAAAGCACAGGGAAAAATTCCAAGAAAAGTACCTTTAGTTAAATAATGGCTATAGAGTATCTAGGTTCATACTTACATACATAGGCTATCCTAAGAGAGTCACAGATTTTTTGAAATGTGTACAAGGGTTTGATTTTTTCACTTGCTATATTGCCTTGTCTCACAAGAGGCACTAGTAATATAAACAAACTAATGGCTAAACTAACAATTATAGTTACCAGTAAATGAGAATGTGCTAGGCCCCTTACATTCATTATTGTATTATGACAATCAAACAAGATGAATGTTCATGACTTCACTTGAAAGATATGGAAACTAAACCTCAGAGATTTTAGGTGACTAATAGCGTTTCTTTTTGAAGGGGTGTTTGCAGGGCCAGAGAACCTACTGGGAGAAAGTGATAAACTTAACAATCAACTTTTGAGAGGAGAATTCTAGCCCTTCGAATGAGAAATGGGCTGGGTGGGGCAGTGGAGGGGATAGGAGCTTTTCTGGTCCTCCCTGGAGCAGATAATGTCTGGCTGGGCTGGGGGACCTTGACGATATGGACGCTAGAAGGACGAATGATGCTGAATAGACACGATTGAGGCTCCTGGTGTGACAAAGAGGGCTTTTCCTGGCCTGGACGCTGGAAGAGGGAGCCTAAGTGGGTGAAAGGTCCTTGAAAGCTAGGGAGGGGGAAGGGCCCTTGGTGGACTCTCCCCGAGGATAAAAGAAGGAGGTCCAGATCTGAGGGGTTCCGATCAAAGCCAGGCTCTGTTTGGACGGGTAACTTATGCACCACTAATTAGGATCAGCAATAAATCCTTAAAGCAGAAGGGTCGTAGGCTTCCACTGGGGCCTCACCTCTCCCTGCCCAGAGGGAGGAGGGGCCACAGATGCACAGAGAAAACACTTCCTGCACTCTGCTCCCCGGCCCCAGCCAGCCGACTAGCCCTCATCCACTGGCCAAACCCCTATCTGTCCGCCCTGTCGTGTCCCCCTGTATGTCTCCATTCTGCAGACACTGGCAAAGGAAGGAGGAGGGACTGGGATACAGCAGAACGACACATCCTGCCTCCTGGGGTTGCTGTTTACCTGGCACCACTCCCCACCTCTCCAGACATTGGGTGGGAGATCTGCACAGTCTGAGAAGAGCTTTTCTCTCCCCCGACCCACTGAGCAGATCGTGTCCAGACACCACTGCCCAAGGGCAGAGAAGCACACCCGCGATTTGGATGGTGGAATCCTGAGATATATCTGGCAAAGACAGGAGGCAGCTCCGACTCTATTTAGGCACAACCCTGGGTAACAAGAGCGGAAGGCAGTGTGTGCTCAGGACTAGGAGGTGGGGCAGAGGAAGGCCAAGAGGCCCAGGCAGGTGGGGAGACGGCAGGATTAGAGGCTCCCGTCCAGGGACCAGGGAGCCGGTGCAGAGGAGGATTTTAAGGATGATTTTGGGGTCAGAGGATGAGAGTTTAGGGTTGGGATCCTGCCCTTTCCGGCTGTTTCTGCACAAAGCCAGGAAGCCCTTTGGTTTGGCTCAGGCCATGTCAGACGGTCATGCTATTCCAGGGCTTGGGGCACTGCCCAAATCAAGCTTCCTTCTAGGGTCAAGTACCCAAAACTAGAGGCATCTGGACCCCTGGGTTGTGGCATCAGTTCACCTGGGGAGGTCAAAGTCACACGACAGGCACGGTGCATCTTGGAGGGTCAGTTTAACTTCTAGAATTAGTTGGCAAGGTGAATAAGATTGGTAGAAAGTATTTATAATGCCCTTATGAGATGATGATGATAATGACAGATACTTCTGGAGTGTTCACTTGCCCAAGGTCACACAGCGATAGTGCAGCCGGGATAAGAACCCGTGCAGTGTGCTGCCAAGCCCATCCTTAGTCAGTATTTATGGGTTATGTTTATACGTTTAAAACAGTTACATGTATAAATGGTGTTATACATTCAACCAAAAGCAGCCTTTAATAATTTGATTGAGGTGAAGACAAAATCCACATGAATATATAAGATAAAGAGCCAGTCATTGTGTGCATGTGGCGCTGGTCAGGCTAGCCCACAGACCTGGAGGGAGGCCCCTGCTCTCCTGGCTCTTCAGGAGTTTGGGAAGAACTGTGGGGTCTTGGAGCAGGGCGGGGCTCTGACTGTAGTGTGACTCGGACCCTGCCTGCTTCTTGAACAGGCTGCTCCAGGGCTCCCCTCCTACAACAGCTAACATTTCTTAAGCACTTCTTCTGTGCCAGACTCCTTTTTACTCATTTATTCCTCCCAACAATTCTATGAGGTCCCCATTTTACAGATGAGGAAAATGAAGCACAGACAGTGATGTAAGTTGCACCCAGTTAGCAATTAATAAACGAAAGGATCCATGCCCAGGTTGGTCTGTCTCCAGGGCCAGAACTGCAAGCCACTGCACCCCATGGCTCTCATGCCCCTAGATGAGCTGATCCCGTGGGCCTGGAGCAGGCCTGGAGTCCAGGCCTTCGACAAGTGCCCCAGGAGGTCACGGGCCACGCTTTGGGAAGCACTGCCCTACGGCTGCTGTTCTCAATCTGGCTGCACATTAGAACCACCTGAGAAGTTTCAAAAACTACTAATGCCCTTCCTTCTCCTGAAGAGAGGTTTTTTCAGTTGGTCCAGAGGAGGGTGCAGGTGTTGGTGGGATGCTGGTCATCATTTTCTTTCAATGGGACAATGTGTTCATTTATTCAGTCAATCAATCGGCAAAGATGTGTGAACACCTACTGTGCCCTGCTGTGTGCAGTGGGTGGGGATACACAGGTGGGTGGGACACTGTGTGTGCCCTCCAGGAGCGCAGGTGCCTGCCTGCCTCGCTGGGCAGAGCGCGCCCTTAGGACGAGGGGAGGATGCAGACCCACCTGCTTGCTCCCGCTTGATGAGCTCCAGAAAGAGCCAGTCTCCTTTGTAGTGTCCTGAAGCTGCTTCTTGCCCCCGCCACCGTGTGGTCCTTACTCCCACCTGAGAGGGCATAGTTAGTTCCAGCCCCAGAACTCAGCTTACAGCACCATAGGTCATCAAAGCGAAAAGGACCCTGAGAGACCATCCGTGCCTAGAGCGCTCAGATTTTAGTGAGCAGCTGACAAAAGTGCTGGCGTCTTGTTAAATCTAAAGACGCCTGGAGCCCACCCCAAAGCTTCTGATTCATAGGTCTTGGGCGGGGTTGAGGAATATGCATTTTTAATGAGCTCCCAAATGGCTCTGGTACACACTCAGCAGGCTCTCAGGGGGTTCTCAGGGGGCTGCCCATGAGGAGGCCCTGAGGAGTTTTAAAAACACTGATGCCCAGGCCCGTCCTTAGAGAGGCTGGTCAACAGTTTTAAAAGCTCCCTCTGTGATCCCATCATGCAGTAGGGGGAGACCCCCTACCGCAAGGCGTCTGGGTCTTCCAGCAGGCTTTGTCCAGGATTTGGAGAGGCAGCCCCAGGGACAGTCACTCCTTGCTACCATCATGGCTTTGAAATAAGAGGAGGGAAGAGATGAAAACAAAACAGCCATGAGAAGGTTTAGAAGGAGAGAAGCAAGAGAGAAGCCTGGACACGCAGCTCCTACTGAATTCACTCCTCACCACCCCGAGGCTGACATCTCTTTTTTTCCAAGTTTTTTTTTTATTATAATAGTAATTAATTGATGTAAAAAACTGAAAGTATGAGGATATGGAAACAAAAATAAAAAATGATCTATTATCTTACTTAGAGATAATCTCATAAGGTCTTTGTATGACATATGTAATGTATAATATAATGCATCATATAACCATACTATATATTATATATAAATTAATATAACAGGTATAATACATAATATATAAACTTGACATTATAAGATTTTTTTACTTTATCTTTATCTTCTTTTCTTTTTTTATCTTCTTTTCTGTTTGGCTTTTATGTAACTTTTCAACATATTTTGTTTTTCAGGTAATTAAAAATGTAAGTCTTAAATTTTTTGGCCAGTTTAGGGAGAGTATGTGAGTGGAGTGGAGATGCTGTGCCCACCCTCCCCGCACATGCGTTCACACATTCATCCATGAGTGCACACGCGCATACACGGACGGACACTTCTCTCCCTGCTCTGCAACCCTGCACATCACATCATCAACATACACTCCACATCACACCCTTTAAGTCAGTAACAGGATTTTGCTAATTGATATTACTAAATATTTACTGATACAGGGTTTAATAATTTATATTAAGTGCAAAATAAGTTTCCTCCCTCTTTCCCATTTCTCTGAAACCTAATGAAAACTGGCAGCAGAGCTCCCAGGACAGTGGCCACATTGAGATGTGCCACCTACAAGGACTCATCAGTTCCTGGCCACCTGCCCCTCCTCCGCCCTCCCTGCCCCAGCCCTACAGCCGGCCTGGAAGCTCGTCCATCCCTACCACAGGGGAGGCCAGCCTCCCGCCTCTCAGTGGCTCTTCTCCCCCGTGGGCTGAGGCTGGTGCTCTGGACAAAGGCTTTCCCTCCACAGGCGGTAGGCAATGGACGCGGTCACGGTGAGCCAGGCCAGGTAGGGCAGCAGGAGCAGGGCGGCCAGCTTGTTGACGGGGTGCCAGATCAGCGCTGTGCTCACCACCAGCCCGTAGAGCAGCAGCAGGAGCAGGAGGGCCTGGGCAGAGCGCGGGGCGTTCAGGCATGCTGCCCTGAGAACCAGCGCTGGACCTTTCTGCAGCGCTTGGGACCCAGCGAGCCAAGTTCCCGGGGCTCTGTGCATTCCACAGGGGCTCAGAGACATCTGCCCACCCGCTCCCTGCCTGCGCCTGGTTGATCTGCTGTGTTATCTGCTTCTGGGGGCCTGCTGGTCTCACCTTCCCTCTGCTACTCCCACTGCCGAGCCCTGTGCGCCTTACCAGACCAGGGGTGTGGGCTACAAAAAAGAGAGTCAGGACGGTCCAGCTGAGGGTGAGCTGCGCAGCATAGAGGCCGAGAGGCAGAGCCAGGGGCTGCCTGAAGCCCCCTCCCAGGTCCTTCCACACCAGGTAGGAGGCATACCTGAAGAGAGATGGTGGCAGAAACACTCAGAGAGAGGGCGTTCCATAGCAAGTGGAGGAAGCCCTCTGGCATAAGGACTCTTGTTACTAAGAGGGAACCCTTGTGAGCCGAAATGGGGGCAAGTGGGTCTAGGCATCATTCGAAGGTCAGCAGGGAGGTGGCAGGAGGAGTTCGGCACGGTGAGGTGGGGGCGAGGAGACTTGGGGAGGGTGGAAGAGGACGGCTGTCTGGCATCCAAGGCAGGCGCAGAGGGGACCCTCCCTAAGAGGCAAGATGGGGTGCCGTTCCTTTTGAGTCCAGCGTGCCACAGTACTTCAGGGGGACTGTTCGCACCCCAGCAGGCGTGAGAAACGGGTGCTCACCCCTTGACGGAGTAGATAGTTGTCCACACAAGCAACAAGACTTTGTAGGACGGGCACCAGGAGAGCTTCCTCGGGCTGTCACACCAACCAGACATCTGATGATGGGCGAGCAGCCAGACCACAATGAGCCCCACCTGGGGAAGGGCCACAAGGATGGCCCCTTGAGGCCTCATCCTCCTCCAGGGGGCAGAATCTGGGGAGGCAGAGAACATGCTAATGGTGAGGCTTTCCCTGTGTGTCACCGTCTGTCCTCACCTCCTCCCAACACTATTCCCTGGCCTGCGCCCCTCAGAGGTCTAGTCACAGAGGCCATCCCCCTCCTTGGGCCAGCTCCTTCCTGCTCCTCTGAGCCCACACCACCTTGCCCCTTTTTCTGGCTTCTGTGCACTTATTTCCTCCACACCACTCATTTGGCACTTGGAGGAGACTGTCCGCTATTGATAACTACTTTGGAGCGAAGGGCTCCCCTCCCCCAACAAGTATCTGACTCCTGGAGTTCGGGTCCAGATGTGACCGGTCTTCTCTGTTTCCCACAGTAGGCGGCACTTGGCCAGACCCAGAGGAGGCCCTCGGCGGGGACAGTGTCTTAGACTGAACTCAACCAAGCTGACACAACCAACCTAGAAGGACCATGTTCTGAAGGCAGGAGCCAGAGATCCCTGGGGGTCTTCTCTAGTCAAGGATGGGCCAACCCATCTGCCCCGGGCTTATCTCACTACACCAGACTGGCAGACTCCATGGGCCCTCCCAGCCCCAGCTCCTGTCCCACTTCAAACCCAGCCGAGTGACACTGTGGGTTCCTTTCTCTGAAGACTTAGCTCCTGTTTATCACAGGGGCTGGGGGAGCTTCCCCCTCCATCTCTCCACTTCCAGAGGGTCAGGGCCTCAAACACAAGCACCTAGATTTCTTGTGGCCTCACTTCTCAAGGAAACAACTGCCTGGTTTTTGATTAAAAAGTTGCCATGCTCATTTACGTGTTGCTTTGTGTGTCATTCATTTGTGGGATGATGCACAGACCCTCCTCTAACTGAGATCCCCACCCAATGTCACTCTTCTCATTTGCACGTGATATTTCAGCCTCCTCCCCATGAGTGACAGGATTGGAAGTAAAAAAAAAAAAAATGTGGTTATTCTCAGTGTCCTGGAGTGACTGCCCACTCCATCCTTTCCTGTCCAGGGCCCCTGACCATGTCCTGGAGGTTCCAGGCACAGGGCTGACCAGCCTGCCTGCCTGTGCATCTTTCCATTCATGTTCTTCTGCTCCTTCCTATCCATTTGTCCATCTTCTGCCTTCCTGTCTCCCTCTCTGTGTTTTCTACTTTTCTGTCCAGTGTGGGAGGTCCCCCTCCTCACCCCATCCTCTTTTCTCCTGTACTCCACAACTCCCACTGCCCCCTTATTCCCAGGCCTGTGTCCCCTTACCTCAGGCAGCACACCTCCCGGACTGGGTCCCCGATGATATACAAAGTGTGGAAGGCAGAGGAGGGTGGGGGACAGTGGGAAGGGTGGAGCTCCCAGCCTTTCTCCAATGACAAGGGTGGTGACATTGGCTGGGGAGTCCAGGTTGTTACTTGCATGGCTCTGAGGGGTCCCTCTCAGCAGGGGTCCCCTGGTCTGCTAGACCTTGGGCCCCTGATGGAACAGCTGACGTTTTGGCACTGTGAGACCTGGGTCTCCTGAGACAGCTTAGCCCCAGGCTGCACGGCTACTGATGCCTGTAGTCTCTGCAACCCGTGAACCAGATTTGTATCCACAGGGGTGTTGGGGAGCTTCAGATTTCCCCAGAACTTTCCTGCAGCTGGGATTGTCCCCAAGTGAGGCAAGGACCAGCTTTGGAAATGAGTTCATGATACGTGCACACAGCCCCTGCTCATAGCCTGCTAGTTGGCATGGCCCTTCCTGGCTTGGAACTTGAGCTTGACGAAGCTTTCACAAACCCCTAGAACTTTATGACTCAGAGGAGAGGGCAGCCTCTTGTGTGACTCAGAGCTTTCTCCAGCAAAGACGGACACCTCCCCCCACGTTCCCTCTCCAAGTTCTGAGCACCTCTTCCTTGCTCATCCTCTGGGCACGAGGTCTTCTCAGGTTGGCTGCTCTCTGCCATTCCTTTGCACATCTCTCCACTGTGGCAACCTGGCTGCCCCTGGCAGGTGTTTATCCCATCCTCTCGCTTCCACCCCGGGGGAGGCAGCAGAGTTCTGGGAGGGGGTTGCAGTCAGGGACAAAAGGCTAGAGAATCATTAACTGGGATGAAAGCAGTGGCAGTTACTAATTTTCTATGGGCCATGGTAACTGGGGCCGTGGGGCGCTGAGCGAGTTCACTGTGGTTCCTCAGCTGCAGGAGGCCAGATCACGTGATAATAGTTACCACTTAGGAGCACCCATGTTGTGGTGAGCGCCTTACATTTATTAGCTCAATAATGACAGTGATTACCCCTCACAGGTAGATATTATTATCTGCCTTTGACAGACAAGGGCAGGGAGGCACAGAGGGGTGAGGAACTCGCCTAAGATTCCATAGCCAAGGGGTGGGTCACCAGGGTTTGGTGTTGGCAGTCTGGACCCAAAATGCATCCTCTTTTCTCTCAACTGGTCTGCTCATTCATTCAACAAGTCTGTACTGAACACCGACTATGGATCACGCTGTGCAAGGAGCTGCGGATACAGCAGCAAACAGCTGGGGAAAAAAATCCCTCTTCACAGGAAGCTTTTCTTCTGGTGGCAGCATCTTTCCTAGGCAGAGTTTCTAAGGAAGAACTCGGGCTGGCAAAGGGCCTGAAGTTCAGCTCTCCCCCAGGTGGCAGTGTCCCTGCCACCTCTGAGTGTGGGCAGTGGAAAGAGCACTGAGTAGGGAGCAGATGTGTGTACACGCCATGCCCCATGTTGCCTCAACTTGAGAGTCTTTAACCCTCTCAGCGCCTCCTCTGTCATCTCTGTGCAGGAAGGGGTGGAGCGAGAGATCCTCTAAGCTCCCTGGACCGGCCACATTGGCATCACCTGGGAGCTTCTTCGAGATGCAGAATGTCAGGCCCCTCCCCAGACCGACGGGACTAGAACCCACGTTTTAACAAGATCCATCAGGTGGTTCGTGTGCACATTATAGTTTGAGAAGCTCTCCTTAGGGCTCCCTCCTCTTCCCTTCTGCCATTTCAATAGCCTCTGGCTGGGGGCGGCCACTCACCAGCAGAGGGCATTGTAGGGAGGGGCTTCACCTGTACCCTGGGGCTGCACCTGCATTCAGGTTGTCTCCCTCTCTGACCCCTCCCTTCCAGACCTAGACTGGCAAGTCCATTTGACTTCTGGAATCTTCAGCTACTCCCCCACCTTGGCTGGACTTTGTCAACAGACAGGTACAGACTCCCTCACCCCTCTTTAGGGCGGTTGGGAGGCAGGACTCTGCCGGGAAGCACCAGGCCACTCCTGTCCGGATGCTCCGCCCACCTCCTCTTGTCTGCTGGCCTGGCGACGAGGTCTGGCTGACCTCTCCGTTCCTCAGGGAAGGAACTACTGTTCCTGGACAAGCCAGCAGCCTCTAGGAACACCTCCACGGTAAGGTGAGCACCCCCTGGGGCAGCTGGGGTAGGGTGGGCATTATTGCAATTATTGCAGGGGTCACCTGGGGCTCAAGGAGGAGGCAGGTCAGCTCAGCAGGGCTTGCCAGAGTGTGGAGACCCTCTGCTGGAGGAGGAGGGGAAAAAGGGGCTTGGGGGAGGGCCGTTGTCCAGTGGGTGTGAGGACCAGGGAGACGAGTCTCTGCACTGTGGAAATGTATACTATGCTGATGAATGCTGCCCATGACTTGGGATTGAATTTATCCAGTCTGGTACTTTTATGTCTCTTAATAACTGGAGATGTATCAGGGGTTCAGTAGACATGGTGAGAACCAGTGACATGGGAGAAAGGTTGAGAGTTTCCTCTAAGGATATGAGCAGAGCCTTGCAGCAAGAGCCTGGATCTGTCTGTTGGCGGAGGCAACTTCCTAGGGACAGGTAATGGCAGCATTCCAGAGGACCCTCATCTTGGGGAAGTGCTCCCAGGATGACCTGGGGTCTAGGGCAAGACAGACTGGAGGCATGGGTAATAAGGAGCCAGGCTTGGGGTTGGGAAGCTCCAGTTCACATTGAGGTGGTTGCTGTGCTGTGGCTTCGGGACCCTCCCTGCTCCTGGGGCCAGGGGGGGATGGAGTGACAGCCTGGAGAGCTGTCAGCCTGGGAAAACGGGGGGCTGAGCAGGGGGAGGAGTTAACCTGCTCCAGGCCAGGTAATGAAAGGGATCCTCGTAAGAGGCCCAGGGGACTTTGGGGAGCAGACATACCAACTGCTCCAGGTTGGGGGGCTGGGCAAGGGGACTCTGCTGCACCGCCTAATGGGGTGGAGGGGATTTGGACCCCGGGTTTTGGAGGCCCTGGGAAGGTTGTTGCTGTAGAAACAGAGTAGGTCCCCTCTCACAGTAGCTGGTCCATCCCCTACTGCTGGTGCCATGGTGGGCAGAAGGTGGGGGCGTCACTCACCGTGGAACTAACGACATGCCTTTAGTTCCTTCTATTTATTTTTACTTTATTTTTATTTCTTTCTCTTCCAACTTCATTTCATCTGGGGTGGAAAGGAAGAGACTTAGGGAAAAAGAAGGGGCAGGGAGAGAGAGGGAGTGTTTCTGGAAGTCCTTATCACCCCTGCTCATCCTTCCCTTCTGCCTTCAGAAGGGAAGTAGTTTAATAATCTCCCATCTGTCCTCAGTGTGGGCAGAAAACTTGCCTTCCTCATCTGTGAAATGTAGATAAAAATAACACCCCGCTCATAAGGCTGTTGTGAGGCTCAAGGGAGACAGGCCACATAGCATGCTTTGAGTCAGTGGCACAGAGAAGCTCCATAAATGTTAGTTATTATTATTACAGTTATAATTCCAATTATCTTTAATGTGGAAGAACCTAAAGGAATGGATGGGACGCAAAGGGAAGCTTGCTGCTCCAACCCCGACTCCACCAGATGTGGGGCATCGCCAGTTCCCCTGCCTCACTCGCGTGCCCCGCAAGAGGCCTGGCTGAAGCAGCTGCTGCACGGGCTGTGGCTGGATTTTAGGGCAAAGGAACAATGCCACACTTTCCCCTCCTGTCTACGTTTTCAATGAGGATGCGGAGGAAACACATCCTGCCCCAGCCCTCAATCCTGAAGATACAGAGGAGTTCCTGCTCTGTCTGGGAGGAGCTAGGAGCGGGGCTTAGGTTTCGTGGGCCCCGGGAAAAGGAAGGGGGCAGGGAAGAGCTGGGCGAGGCCTCAGCTCCAGCTGGGTGGTTTGAGAGAAGGGGGTAAGAGAAATGGATGCCAGAAGCTTTTCTAGTGCAGACCCTAATGAATCAACCATGGGGAGCCCAAAGGACCTTAAAGGAGGATGTTGTGCCTCCCAGAACTCAGCTGTGGAGTGAATGCATCCCATTCCCCCAGAAGCTCCTTGAGAGCTGAATAAGACGTCATCTTTGGCAGGACTGAACTTCCCACAGTACCTGGTACGCAGCTGGTGCTCAGGAA